ACCCCCCCCCCCCCACAGGGTCAGGGCTTGCTCGTAGCCCGATGGCGATGCCGATCATCCGGCCCGCTGGGTGAAGCAGCAGCAGCCAGCAGCTCGGCCCGGCCCCGCCTGGTGCCTGCAAGCCTGGGGTCCGTGGATGTGTCATGTGAGAGTAGGTTGCTGAGACCGCCCGGAGTGACACTCCGGCGCGAGTGACGGCGAGTGCACTCCAAGTGCTCCATCCAAGTTTTCGCGGGGACTGAGGTCTGAGCTGTCTTCTCCCACCTTGTCCTTGAGAGTTGTTGCGCTGTTTAGTTGCTAAAAACCCAACACAACGCACGGCGGCGCACACTTCTCATATGGCCAAGGCCTTGTAGCGCGAGAGGCGGACGGACAGAGCCTCGTCCTAGAGAGGAGCGGGAGGCGCCCTCGGCGCCCTCGCGTGCTGCGGCGCCCTCGGCCACACCGTCGAGCGCGAGACGACCCTGGCCTCGCACTCGTCTAGGCACGGCATCCCCGACCACGACTCGCGCGACGGCAGACAACACGCCGCCAGACGCTCCTGCATGTTGACCGACGTAAAGTACCATCGCGGGCCGTCTCCCCCGTCGATGCACATCTCCATCGTCTGTTCAGAGTCGGCGTCCTGCATGTCGCACTCCGTCCGGTTCCACACGTGCTCAAACATGACGTAGCTCCGCTCGTAACACCACACCGTCGTCTCGTGCACGCCGGCGCTGCCCACGACCCTCGCCGTCACCACCCACCGGATCGGATACTCGCGCCGATACCGATGCTCGCACGGCAGCGTTTCATAGGCTGGGCATTCGCTGCGCAAACTCACCTATCACAGCATGAGCCATGGTTGGAGTGCACCTGGCAGACCTGGTGCAAAAGTGGCGGGGCAGGGCAGGGACGGGACACCGCGCACCGGGTCGAGCCGCGACCTGCCGCCGTAGTAGCTCTCGATGTTCGTCTTCTGCGGCAGAGAGGGGAGCGGGGCAGGGTCACGAGAGCGGCGCCCTCACGCTCTCGCGCACACGCATCCCGCGCGCCTGCTCGCAGACGTCGATGCAGGTCGCTCCGGCGGGGGCGAGGGCATGCGCCTTCCCGTCGTTGCAGCAGCAGAACTTTGTCGCGCCCGTCTGCTGGTCGGACGCAAAGAAACGAGCCGCTCTCTCAAGCACCGCAGCGCCGGCCGAGGAGATGGTGACCTGCCCGTGGTCGTATGGGACAGGAGCCGACGGACACGGCCATCGGCCAGCGGGCAGCCTTCCAACTACCGGCGATGTATTGCAATATTGCCGGTAGATGGAAGCCACGAGCAGAGCGGCGGCGATGGGCGCGATGCGGAGGCTGAAAGAGTGGGCGGGCAATCGATTGAGCCCTCTCGGAGTGCGCTCGCGCATTCGCATTCAGCAAGCGCCGCGCGGCTACGTGTTTGAGCCAGGTTGGACGGGGGCAGTTTTGCCGAGACCTCGACGGGCGTTCCGCCGTCGAGAAAGAGCGACGAGAGAGAGAGAGAGAGAGAGAGAGAGAGAGAGAGAGAGAGAGAGAGAGAGAGAGAGAGAGAGAGAGAGAGAGAGAGAGAGAGAAAGAAAAAAGGAAAAGAGAGGAGAGAGAGAGAGAGAGAGAGAGAGAGCGAGAGCGAGAGAGAGAGAGAGAGAGAGAGAGAGAGAGAGAGAGAGAGAGAGAGAAAGAGAAGAGAGAGAGAGGGGGGGGGGAGAGAGAGAGAGACACAGAAGTCAGAGAGGAGAGGAGGAGAAGAGAGTGGACATAACACGGCGTTCTCTTGGCTTCGACGGTACTGTCCAGGCCTAAAGTCTGCCCAGGTTACTCAGGGCACGATCCCGGGCGTGAACACGACTAACTGACGGATCCGCTCCTGACAGTGGCACGCACCGCGCTGGCGCGTGCCACTGTCTTTGTTTGAAGTTAAAAGTCGAATCAGAGCGGCGTCGGCGTTGCCCTGAGTTTTCCTCCCACGGACCGTCCGTCCGGCACCGCTCCGGGACGCACGCCGGCGAAACATCATCAAGCTGCTGTACGGCCCCGGCATCGCCTTCCCAGGCTTAGCTACCGGTAGACTGAGAGATGTTGTGAACATGGTTGATATCTACAATATATACACTGACACTGAACCTCCCAGAGCTCGTCCCGGTCCGTCACGGCCATCCTCGGCCTCCGGAGGCCCCCCCCCCCGCCGCGGCGCGGTGCGGCGGCGTCACAAATCCGACCACAGAGCACCGGGACGCGGTCGGGCGATCTAAGGCCCAGTGAGGCGTATGCATTGCCCATCCAGGGCTACCACCTGGACCTATCAACAGGCGCCTGCGGCGCCGTGCTCAGGAGCTGCTGCTCCACCTGTTCACACTTTCGTACGGCACAGTACGACTGTGGGGGGGTACCTGCCGGACTGGCTGGAGCGGCGTCCCGCCGGGGCGCTGTTGCGCTTCACGCATGGCGGGTCCTCGCGGAGGCCACGTACTCGCGGCAGCGACAGCCGTGGCGGCGGCAGTGGCGCTGCTCGCCCTCATCCGCCGCCGCCGCCACTTGCAAGGCCCTCTCATCGACGCTGATCTGGACGGCACTTGGCCGCTCCCACTGGCGCAGCCAGAGGCGGTGGGGCTATCGACCCAGCGCTTGAGTGAGATCAGCCGGTGGAGCGACGGCTGGGTCGGCTCTGGGAAGCTGCCTGGGCTCTTCACCGCCATCGCTCGGCGAGGGAAGCTGGTTTATGCGCACTCGAGCGGCTCTGCAGACGTGGCCAGCGGCAGCCCGCTGACGCAGCACACCCTCGTCCGCCTCTACTCCCTCACCAAGCCGCTCGTCTCCGTGTGCGCGATGGTGCTCTACGAGAAGGGACTCTTCCAGCTCGACGAGCCCGTCTCGCATCACCTGCCTTCGTTTGCAAACGCGCGGGTGCTGCTCGCCTCGGGCGAGATCGTCCCGGCGGAGCGCGAGGTGACTGTGCACCACCTGCTCACGCACACCGCCGGGCTGACGTACGGCGACTCGGACACCGCCGTCGACGAGGCCTACAAGGCGGCGGGCTGCGGCTGGGATGCACCGTACCACCTCTCGCTCTCCGACTTTGTCGACCGGATCGGCCGGCTGCCGCTCGCCTTCCACCCCGGCGAGTCGTGGCGCTACTCGTACGCGACGGACGTGCTCGGCCGGCTGCTCGAGGTGATCTCAGGCCTGCCCCTCGACCGGCTGATGGACGAGACCCTCTTCTCCCCGCTCGGGATGGCCGACTCTGGCTTCGTCGTGCCGCCGGAGAAGCTGCCGCGCTTTGCCGCAATCTACGAGGCGTCCGAGGCTCCGGGCCGCGTCGGCGCCGTCGCGCGGCAGCGCCGCCGCTTCGAGCGCGGCGGGTCCTTCGCCACGCTGCTCTGGTCGCTCCGCCGGTCTGCCGACGCGGGCAGTGAGCAAGGCAGCGACCGAGGCAGCTGCAGCGACCGAGGGAGGGGCAGCGACCGAGGGAGCGGCGGGGTGAGCCCGATGGAGGGGAAGGGCGCCCCGCGCGCGCTGCGGCTCTTCCGAGAGAGCGACGACCTCACCGAAGTGCTCGCGGGCCTGCCGCGGGAGAGCCGCGCCTCCACGAGCCGCACCTCCGCTCGGGTGGCCGTCGTCTCGTGCGCCGCGCGGCCGGGGCCGTTTGACTCGGCTCTCGAGCCTAGAAGCAGAATACGTGTTCATGTCTCCCAACCAGCGCCCGAGAGGACACGTGTTCAGCTGTATTCACCCGTATTCCGCTGTATTAACGGTATTCTTCTCGGTTGTATTCACGCGGTGCTCTGAATACTGAGGTTGGCGTAGTTCTGCTTCTAGGCGCTCGAGCCAAAGGTGCTCCAGCCGCTCGCAGGCCCGCCCTGTTCACAGCTCCTGTTCACACCTCCTGTTCACACCTCGAGCCAAAGGTGCTCCAGCCGCTCGCAGGCCCGCCCGCCCTCGCCCGCAGGCGGGACGCGGGGGACACGGCCAGGCCAAGTGCTGTCCTCCGTGTCCGTAGGCCAGCCTGTCCTCGCGCACGTCTTGCGGCAGCTGCACGACGGCGGCGTCAACAAGGTTTGGGACACGTCCACAACACACCTCTACAGTACACGCCCGCGACACACCCGCGACACGCCCACGACACGCCCACGATGCGCCCACGACACGCCCACGACACGCCCCACGATGCGCCCGGCAGGTCGTGCTTGTGCTCGGCGCGCGCGGCGCGCTCATCCGGGCCGCGCTCGCCGAGATGGGCCTGAGCCCTCAGCTTGAGATTCGCTTCGTCGACCTCGGCGCCACCTTTGCCAACGGGTTCGCCGCCTCGCTGCTCGCTGCTCGCTCTGAGGTGGGCGAAGCCGATTTTCTGATCTGCACGCCCGACCACTTGTTCGATTGCTCGCTCGTCCCGAGGATGCGCCGCGCGCTCATCGACGCGGCGGGCGGCGACGGAAGGCCGTCGGTCTTCGACGCGGTAGCCCTTGTCGAGGAGGAGCCGGTCGATCGCCACAGGCGCGGCCTTCCGGACAGCATGGTGCGGGTCGCGATGCAGAGCGAGGTTGGCGCCCACCCGCCGCGGAACCCGCTTGCGGCGCGCGCCTCGCGCCCTCCCGCCCCTCCACCCGTCCCTCACTCCCGCCTTCGCCCCCAGGAGCACGGCGGGGTGGCGGCGGTGCTGCATCTCGGCGAGGGCACCATGCCCGAGGCGGGCCCGGCGGTGCGCCACGGCGTCGAGGCGGGGATCTACGCGTGCACGCCGGCCGTCTTTGCGCGGCTCGAGGAGCTCAGCCTCCACCTAGACCACTTCGCGCTGTCCGAGGCGATGGCGCGCCTCGTCGAGCACGGGCGGCTCGGCGGCACGTCGACGCGCGGCCGCCCGTGGTTCGCCTTTGAGCGGGCCCCGGCGGCGGAGCAGGAGCGATTCCACGTCATCGACCGGCGGCTCAACGAGGCGGCGCTCACCCCGCCCTCGTCACCTCTGTCGATGACGAGACGCCTCGCTCAACGGCTCAACGGCTCACCGCGTCCGTCGTCCCCGTCGCCACCGTCGCCACCGTCGAGACCGACGAGCAGCGCCTCGCCGCCACCGATCCAGGCGGCGTCGCCGTGGCGGAGGGAGCCCAGCTCAGCCGACCCACCGCCACGCCCCCGCCGCTTCCACGTGCTCGACGACGCCGAGGCGGGCGACTTCACGGTGCGCCGCCCCTTCCTCGAGGCGGGCGGCGGCGTCGTCTCGACGGCGCACGATTACCTGCGCTTCGCGGCGATGCTGCTCAACCGCGGCGAGCTCGACGGCGTTCGGATCCTCTCGTGCAAGACTGTCGACTTTATGAATTCCAACCACCTGCCGCTCGGCGAGGCCGGGCTCCACCGCGTCGACATCGAGGCGATCGCGGCCGACAGTGGCTTCGCGGAGACCGGCTTTGACGGCATCGGGTTCGGCCTCGGCTGGAGCGTCATCGTCGATCCGATCAAGGCGCGCCTGCTCGCGAGCAAGGGCGAGTTTGGCTGGGGCGGCTGGGCGAGCACCTTCTTCGCTGTCGTCCCGCGCGAGCAGATGATTGTGCTCTCGCTCGCGCAGATCGCACCGTCCGATCGCTATCCCATCCGCCGCCAGCTACGGACCATGGCCATGAGCACTATAGTCGATTGAGCCCTGTGCGCGAGCTCTCTGTGTCGTGTGCGGTGTGTAGGATTACGTTCAGGACAGGGGCGTCTGCCTTCTCCCGACTCCCGTATCTCTTCGGACTCGCCCATTCTTTCTCGCAGCACCTCTCATGTCCCAGATGTCACCTCGGTCTCCCTGGCACTCCCTCGCGAACAAAGCGGCACAAGGGGTAGTATGCGTATGGGGGCAAAAACGCTACGCAACACACATATCGCGGCTCCTAGGTGAGGGATGGGGCTGGCCGCCCGCGCACCATACTGCGTACGGCTTTACGCACGCACGCACGCAGCCATATACAGGTTTTAGGTATACGACTTCCGTCTCACGCCGTGTGAAACTGTGAAAGCCGCGACACCGCCACGCCTCGCCCCGTCGCCCGCGAGGCAACGAGCTCCCCACACTCCGCACGCCTGCTGTCTCCAATCTCAAAGTCGTCACCAACGTGATCACAGTAGGTGGTACGCGTGCTCGCCGCGGCCTCCGCACTCACGTTGAAATCCTGGCGGTAGTATGGTGAGAGCACTCGGCAGCGCGGGCCGCCGCCGGCGTCCGTCGCAGGGCACGCGTCATCTAGGGTCTGCCACAGGTGCCTCGAGTCGGAGTTTGAGCCCAGGGGAAGGCGAGACGCCCGCTCGATCAGATTGAGAAGCACGTCCAGCATGACGTTCCACACACGGTCACGGAAGTGAACCTTGTCGAAAGGACGCGGAGTACGGGCGTTGCCGTTGGTGGAAGCGTCAGTGAAGGCGAACGCGTCTACGCAGAAGAGGCGCGGCCGCGTGGCCTGCATGTTTCGGCAGGCGGCGTGCGTGACTCGCCGCGTGACGTTCGTCATCAGCCGCCGCTCCTCGACCAAGTCGGGTGAAGCGGTGTCGTGTTCAGAGCCGTAGACGTACGGAGTGCGCCAGATCACGACGGTGCTTTGCGGCAGGCATGTGGTTGCGGCTAGCAGCCTCTGCCAGTCCCGAAGCACGAGTGCCTCGTGCGCCCTCAGGTCGAGCGTACCGCTGCGGTTGAGGCGACGCGACCGCCGGAAGATGACGTCGTGCGGACCCTTTGAGAGCAAGAGCACGTCTGGAGGCGCCTGGCAGAGGCGCGTCAGGAAGACATGGTCATCGTCCGTAAACATCTCGGGCAAGTTTGGCAAACGCTAAACATGGGCGATCCGATCCTTCCTACGATTGGACGGACGAAATGATCGGGCGGGAAAAGCGGGACCGCCATCGCGACCTCGGGGGTTCACCATATGCCGAGCCTGCTCGGCCTGCCATGCGCGCGCGCGCCTCGCCCGAGCGCAGCCACCTGCGGACCTGGCCAGCCTGTTCCTGGCTCGTGCCCAGCCTCTCCTTCCGCTGCCGCCGGCCTCGCGGTCCCGCCAGCCATCACGCTGCAGAGCCAGCGTAGACGCCACAGACGCAAATTCCCACAGCCCTGGCAACTCGAGGGCCAGCAGTATACGACGACGTCGAACGACGACGACGACATCTCACACCCCGCGCTGGCCAGCGCCATCAGCCCCTCACGGCCCGGCCCAACCTTCCCTTCCCCACCCTCGCCTCCAGTGCCTCCAATCAAGTCGCACCTCTCTTCTTCAGCGAATGCAGCGGCAGCACCACGTCAGAGGCCGGGCCGACTGGCGGACCTGCATGCCCAGCCATGCCCCCCACTCCCCACACCCGCTTGGATCGATCAGCTGACAGCTCCACCAGCTCCCACGTCCCACCACCGCGTGTTGTGTCATTCATGAATGAAGCATGAGATAGATAGACATAGAAAGCATCATCGAAAGGGGTCTGATCTCCAAAAAGAGCTCTCGGCCTGCCGCGCGCGCCCGCGCCCCGCCCCTTTTGCGCAGCAACACCTTAAACTTCATGGCCCTCCAAATTCGGGTCGGAGCGTAGCGGAGTGGCACCCCCGTTTGAAAAAGGACGCTTGCGTCCTAGCCTCCAACAACGCCTCCCCGGCGCAGAGGGGCCCCCGGAGGCACGCTCAACCGCCCCACGCCACGCCGCTTGCGGCGGTCCTATTCCCAGCTCGCGGGGCGACCTGTGCTTTGTGAAATTCTTCACCACGCCGGCAACTAAGGCCCAAACTCCCGACTCTCCACTCCGGACACCCAGGGGCCGGGGCCATCGGCAAGGCATGGGTTCGGTGGAGGAGATCAGCGAGGCGGTCGGGCACGCCTTCTGGGACACGCAGCCAGTGCCGTCGCTGAATGCAGAGGAGGAGGACGCCTGCGGCCCCATCAACCCGGCAGACCCGGAGAAGGTGCGTGCGGAGCCGTACAACCTGCCGCCCGCCTTCGAGTGGACGGACCTCGACCTGTCCGACGCGGAGCAGGCCAAGGAGCTCTACACGCTACTGCACGAAAACTACGTCGAGGATGGCGACGCCATGTTCCGCTTTGACTACTCGCTCGACTTTATCCGCTGGGCGATGCAGCCGCCCGGCGCGCTCGACTACTGGCATGTGGGCGTGCGGGTGTCGCAGACGAAGAAGCTGGTCGCCTTCATCGGCGCCACCCCGGCCGACCTCCTCTGCCACGGCCAGCGGGTCGAGCCGCGCCCTCCGCCGGCCGCCGACAAGGCGGAGGAGGGCGAGGGCGGCGCCGGCGCGAGCGGCGTCAACATTGAGGAGAAGCTGTCGGGCCTCGACCTGGACGGCGGCGCAACGGGCTCGGCTGCGAGCAGCGGCGGCGGCGCGGCCGAGCTCGGCGACCAGGCGGTGGTCGAGGTGAACTTCCTCTGCGTGCACAAGAAGCTGCGCTCGAAGCGGCTCGCTCCGGTGCTCATCCGAGAGGTCACCCGCCGCGTCAACGAGAAGGGCATCTTCCAGGCGCCGCGCCCGCCCCCGCCGCCCCGCCCCCGCCGCCCCTCACCCACCGCCGCCGGCATCGACACCGCCGCCCTCGCCCTCGCCACCGTCGCCTCCGCCCCACCTCCGCCCCACCTCCGCCCCACCTCCGCCCCACCTCCGCCCCACCTCCGCCCCACCTCCGCCCCACCTCCGCCGCGCCCCTGCTCCACCCCTGCCTCTCCCCCTCCCTCTCCCTCCCTCTCCACCTCCCTGCCCCTCCCTACCGCCCTCCCCTCGCGCAGGCGACCTACACGGCCGGGGTGGTGCTGCCGCGGCCGGTCGCGCGCTGCCGCTACTGGCACCGCTCGCTCAACCCAAAGAAGCTCATCGAAGTCGGCTTCTCCCGCCTCGCCCCGCGCATGACAATGGCGCGCATGACGACGGCTGTGCGGTTGCGAGTGGGACGTGTCGGGGACGTGTCGGGGACGTGTCGGGGACGTGTCCGTAGGTGCGCACGCTCAAGCTCTACGCGCTCCCCGACCAGCCGGTCACCAAGGGTGAGCGGAGGAGGGGAGGAGAGACGCTGTCGGGCTCGCCAACTTGCAGCGGGGGCGGGGGCGGGGCGGTGGGGTGTGGTAGGGTGGAGGCTGGCGCGGATACACTTTACGCCCCCGCGCGCGGCCAGGCGTGCGAGCCCTCAAGGAGGAGGACGTCCCCTCCTGCTGCGCCAAGCTCAACGCCTACTTGCGGCGGTACAAGCTGACGCCGCAGCTCTCCGAGGCGCGAGAGAGGCCGGCCATGCGACACACACCTACGCACACAGACACACTCCACGGGCCTCGCACATGCCCGCCCTATCTTCCACGGACACTGAGGTGAAGGCGCGCCCGGTCCCGCGCGTAGGCGGAGTTCTCGCACTGGCTCGTGCCTCGCAAGGGCGTCATCTACACCTACGTCGTCGAGGAGGCCGGCGAGGCGCGCGGGGGAGTGGGGTGGGGAGTGGGGGGGGAGGGGTGGGGGGGGGGGGGGACCGGGGAGGGGGAGGGGGGCGTCCCTACTCTCGCACCCGCCCTTCGCCACCCGCCCTTCGCCACCCGGGCCGGCGCCACGGCCCTCAGGATGGCGAGAAGGAGGTGACGGACATGTTCTCCTTCTACTCGCTCCCCTCGTCGGTGCTCAAGCACGAGAAGCACACCAAGCTGCACGCGGCCTACTGCTACTACTACTTCGCGAACAAGACGCCGGTCCAGCAGCTGATCAGCGACGCGCTCGCCCCTCGCCAAGCCGCCGCTGGCCATGGAGGACGACCGCTCACGCCGCACGACTCGTCCCGCAGGCGCTCGTCCTCGCGAAGAGGCACGAGTTTGACGTCTTCAACGCGCTCGACATCCTCGACAACGACAGCCTGCTCAAGGCAAGCCCCCCGACCCGCGCCCCGGACACACACCTCTCTCCGCCCCTCTCTCCTCCTCGACCTCCTGCCCGGGGAGCCTCGCAGACCGCGGCACCTCTGCTGCCCGGCGGCGGCGGCCCCTCGTCCTCCCCCTCCGCGGCCGGACTCCCCCCTCCGCCGCGGCGCAGGAGCTCAAGTTCGGCATCGGAGATGGGCACCTGCAGTACTACCTGTACAACTGGAGGTGCCCCACGGTCGTGGCCAACGAGATTGGCCTCGTCCTCCTCTGAGGCTCCTACCGCGTGCACACGCCGCACGGAGTAGCGGCCGCTTCTCCACACCCGCCGTGGCGCCCGCCCTGCGTCCCGGCTGCGTGCGATCGGCGTTTGCGTCTTTTGCGACCCGCGCCCTGAGGCAACGGGGCGCTCGCTCGACCCCTGGTGGCGGCAGGAGCAGTTTAAGCTCCTGGATGTGCGGTCCATCGTCAGCCTGTCGTCAGCGTTCTCTGCAACACGATCTCTCTGGGGCGATACGGCTGCGACGCGGGAGTCGGGGACACTCACAACTCAGACTGGCCTCACAGTAGCGCTTTTCTGTTTTGGTCAGACCGCTCTGTTCCCGTATGAAAGATGTTTTTAATCACGATAATGCACAGGACGAGATTGTGGGCGGGTGCCTCGTCTCCGCCTTCCAGACAGGCGCATACGCGGACCAGTGTGCAGTGACACGGCCCAACAACAAGGACACGGACATCGCGCCGATGGAGTACCGGAGGGATGCGCATTGAGCCCAAGTACTCGTTGCACGTTGGTCTTCCACAAGATCATTCAGGTCTGCCGAAACACGCCTCCTCTCCCCCCTTACCACATACCACTCTGGGACTCGCCCGCCGCCGCCGCCGCGCCCGCCGCCCGCCACCGCGCCCGCCGCCGCCGCCGCGCCCGCCGGCGCTGCCGCCCGCCACCGCCGCCGCACCCGCTGCCTCTCCTCCCTCCTTCCCTATCCCCTCAAGCTCCCCCCGCCCCTCCCAGATCTGGAACAAGTACTTCAAGGACGACCCAAAATACGGGGAATCGGCAGGGAACTTTTGCAGCATCGAGGGGTGCGGACACACCAAGGCCCCGGAGTTTGCTGCGCTGGCGTGCTCACGCCTATGAACGTGGGAAACGTCGATTATGCTTACAAGCAGCGAGGTGCCAACAAACAACAAGAACTTCACCCATCTTGCAAGCTCTAGGGGCCGGGCAGGGTTTGCCCTCCGAAACTGGCATGAGGAGCCTAAGAAAAAAGTGGCTCTGGCTCCGAAACCCTCGCACAGCGTTACAAAAAACTCGTTGCGGTCTCGAGGTCTCAGCACAGATCGCGCGGGAACGGAAGGACGGCGGGCGCGGGGGCTTGTCAGCTGTCACATATGTCAAAGGAATCCTTTCACCGGCAGCCCACTGCGCCTGTGAGTTCGTTCAGCGCAAGCATCAAGCTGCGCCTCCCGTCCGGGGCGAAGCAACCGCTGCATCCTGTCTTCTGTGATACCGGCATGAAGAACGGCATCCGAGGCCAAACCCGATACTATGCCGCAGCTCCTGGCGAGCCATTTGTTGTTGAGTGCACCAACATGTTTGGGAACGCCGCGACAGGAGACTTTGGCGGCTATGTCTTCGTCGACCAGGGAGAAACACCGCCGCCTGTCGACCAGAACACCTGGGATCACGCCTTCACCTGGGGTCCGATTCGGGAGCGCGGCGACCGGTCGTACGATATCGAGGGCTACACCAAGAACCGCGACGAGGCCTACTCGTTTCGCTTCGATCACACTCTCCCGCCCGGAGAACGTGCGCTCGCGCGTTGCTCCGATGAGGATCCCAAAATTGGCTGGATTGTTGTTCGCTTCTTCAAAGTCACAGGGTATGAGGAGGCAGAGACGGAGGAGGCAGCCAGGCCTGCTCAGCGGCAGAAGGTGACCAAGGACGACGTGAAAAATATGTTCGTCACTCCATGCCAGCCTGGTGAGGTGGTCCAGTCTAGCGTCACACACGGCAGGGAATCGCCCATATTTGCTGCGGAGCCGATCTACGAGAGCCGAGTCCGCTGGCTTGAGTGGCCCGGCCTGGTTGCCGCCCTCAAAGCGAAGCAACAGCACATTGCATCACTCCTTCCCGACGTGCATCGGGCGATCCCGTTCGCAGCGCTGCACGCGCCCCGGTTGCGGACGCAAGTCATCGAGCAGCTTCTAGTGCGCGCGCGCAAGGTTGGCGAGTCGGGCACCACGGGACTCTTGTTGCGCGCGGTCAGCGACGAAAGCTATGTCGCTCTGGAGGACATTGTACAGATCATCAACCTCCACTTCGACCCGATTGCTGCGCGGATCGTGTGCTGCGGCAAGCTCGAGCACCTCAAGCCGCTCGCCGACGCAGCGAAAGTCCAAGGAGACCCCGTCGTCCACTACGACGAGGATCTTGATGCCTTTGCTGACGAGAGCGGCTGTGTGTCGCTGGAGAAGCTCGACGAGGACGCACACTTCGACGAAAAGCTGCACGGGCTGCACTCCTTCTTGACGGACCACCTAGATGCGTGGGAGATTGCGTCACGGGGCAGCCTTTCGCTGCCCCCGGGCAACGGACGCGGCATACAGATGCGGAAGCGCATTCTCAACCTCTCGACGTCGGGCTCTAGCAGCGGCGGCATGGGCTGCACCATAGCCGTGAAGGTAGTTGACCAGGACGGCCGGGAGGACGCGTACATCGTCGAGATGGACAACAGTCTTGCCCCGATGATGGACCAGTACTGCCACACGCGCGGCATCGGTGATTCGTCGAGGAGCACGCTGCGGTTCCTGTTCGATGGGGAGCGCGTGAACTCGCACCAAACCCCGAGAATGCTTGAGCTGGAGGACGGGGACTGCATCGACGTGATGACCGAGCAGCTTGGAGGCGTTGAGTAGGGGTGATCACGGCGCTGATCAATACACACATACCTCCCATAGAATACGTGTGTGCACGTTCCCGCTCTGGGGGGAGGCGAGGGCCCTAGGGGGTACCCATGCGGCGGGGAGATGGGGTCCCCCAGCCCGCCGCAGGCGCCGATTTTTTTGGCATTTTTTTCGCGCGATTTTTTACTTGTTTTCATGGGAATTCGGCGTACTTGCGGCCATGCTATCACGCCTTGCGACATCCTTTCGGCGCTGCTGATCGTGCCATGCTGCTCAACTGACCGCCTGCATAGCTCGCGGCCTTAGTCTTCGGCATTCAGTGACGACCTGATCGTACGGCCAGTAGGAAGGTGTCCTTCCAGCGCGTGCACGCTTCTGACGCAATGCGCGTCACAAACTGCCTCGGATTGGCTGCTGGCACTCTCGAGGCTATGCCTACACAGCCTCGCGCGCATGGGCAGTCAATAGGGACCACGCACCTTCTCAGGACAGCGCCGGTGCCTCTCTCTTGGACCGGCAAACGTGGTGGTCTCGTGTTACCAATGTGGGACCAGTGCGGCATCGCGCCATCGACAGCTCTGAACTGCGCCTCACCACTGACCGGGAAGGCCGCCAAGTGGGTCAGCACCGGTCGCACATTGTGGCAGCAGTCAGCAGCGCATGTCTGATAGCTAGAGCAGCAGCGTCAGGGTCGCAGGGTCGGATCGTGTCAAGCCTCTCGCCCGGCCGGCCGTGTGCAGACGTCGGCCTGTCTGCTGTCTGGAGTGATCTGTCGGCGGTCAGTACGACCGATCAGGTTGGAGTTTTCTGATGGTTGGAGGGTCTATCTGTATGTACTCCTCGAGATCTCTCCAAATCTGCCCTCTGATCAACCATTCGGTAAGTCGGTGCTAACGGAGACTAACGGAGCCGGAGCCCCGTTTCCGCACTGCTGCGCGGCGCACGGTGCCTCCGGGGGCCCCCGCCTCCCCCCAGAGCGTTCCCGTAGACAGTACCCCCTTTTACCCATCTCCGAGTCATGCTCCGAGTAGAGGTGTCCGTTTTATTTATTATTTATAGGACAGTACCGCGGCTTGCGGGGGGCGGGGCCCCACTAGCACTACCGCCTACACCGCCCTGTGCACAAAGCCCACATACAATGCACAAACGATATTACACAGATATGCGGGGATCTCCTGAGGTCTGTGTGTGCCGCACACACTGTGTCTCGTGTGTGCAGTGTTACTAGCAGTGTCTCGGGAAGTGTGCAGTGGAACGGACCCGTACACACAACACACGGAGAGAGACTCTGAGAGAGCTGAGAGGGTTGGGTAATCACGATGGTTCGATGCAAGGATTCTGGCCAAAAGATAAAAAGGTATCCTCCAATCCTCTCCCCCCTTAAAGCCGTAGCCCTTTAGGGATCCCTACCCCGCCTTTTCCGGTTTTCGAAATTGGCAACGCTTTTTTCTTTTCGGCATTTCGCGCGCTCGGCCTCGGGGCTTCTTGTACAACCGCACACATAGATATCACGCCGCCCATTCGTGCGCGCGCGGGGGCAGAGCGTGTGCACACCACGCCCCACTCCCTCACACCACAAAAGCGCTCCCCGCAAGTGTCCAATGCGAGGGAGCGGGAGAGAGAGGAGAGAGAGGATTTGTACATGGTGCGAGCCGTCTCTTGCGCCCAACGCGCCTCCGACTGTCGAGGGCTCGGCCGCGGCACTCGAGCCCGCGCTCGCGGGCACGAGGCCCTCGCCGTGACTCGCCGTTGCGGCGGCGCGCCGGGCTCCGTCGCCCACTTTGCCGCGAGAGTCAAGGCACCCCGGTGGGTACGCTCGGCAGCGGGTGCGACAGGGGAACTTGCCGCCCGTCGTCGGTGGCCGGCTCGCTGCCGTCGCCGCTAGCGCTGCCCGCCGCCTCGGCCTCGGTGACGTCGGCGGGGACGAGGGCGGCGCGGATGACCTCGCGCACGTCCGAGACGAGCTCGAACTGCATCTCATCAAGGACCTGGTGCGGCGGGGAGGGACGGGGGAGGGGGGGGGGGCGGGGTGTTCTCGGGGGAGCCCAACGAGTTGCGTGCGAAGTGTCTGGGGGACGTGTCTCTCGTCGAGCACCTTTTGCGGCAGCTCGCGTAGGTCCTTCTCGTTGGCCTGCGGCAGCAGCACGGTGCGGACGCCGGCGCGGTGCGCGGCGACAACCTTCTCCTTGATGCCGCCGACGGGGAGGACCAGCCCGCGCAGAGTGATCTCGCCCGTCATCGCCACGTCGTTGCGCACGAGGCGGCCGGTGAGGAGGGACGTCAGCGCGGTGGTGATTGTGACGCCGGCCGAGGGGCCATCCTTTGGCGTCGCGCCCTCGGGGAAGTGGATGTGCAGGTCGGTGGTGTTGAGGAGAGCCTCGGAGGCGGTCTTGGCCAGGCCGAGCTCGGCCACGTTTGCGCGGATCCACGTGAGCGCCGCCTTGACGCTCTCCTGCATCACCTCCTTGATGTTGCCCGTCATCTGCACCGCCCCCTTGCCCGCCACCTGCTCCACCTCCACAAAGAGCGTCTCGCCCCCAAACACGGTCGCGGCGAGCCCGAGCGCGATGCCGGGCTTCGTGATGCGCCGCGCAACGTCACGCCGCGGCTCGAAGCGAGGCGGACCGAGCACCCGCTCGATGTCCGCCACGCTCAGCGCGATCGGCGCCGCCGCCGCCGTCGCCGCCTCGGCGGCAGCGGCGGCCTCGCTGCCTCCGCCGCCTTCGGACGGCGCGCCCTCGTCGGCTCCTCCAGCGGCGGCCGCCGCCGCCGCCGCCGCCTCGCTGGCCGCCTCTCCTGCCTCGGAGACGTTTGCGGCGATCGCGCGGCAAAGGGCGCCCAGCTTGCGCTCGAGCTCGCGCACGCCGGCCTGCGGGAAGCGGGCGGGAGGCAAAGACTTGAGGGGCGGGGAGGGGGGCGGGGGCGGGCGGGTGGCGCCCACGATGGGAACCATCGCAGCGCATCTCGGCGCATCTCGGCGTGGCATTCTCGGCGCATCTCGTCGCATCTCGGCAAGGCTGGCCTCGCGCGTGTAGCCCGAGATGAGGTGGTCGAGCTCCTCCTCGCCGAGCGAGAGCTGGCCGGGCGAGAGGCCGTGCAGCGCGACCTGCTTCGGCAGCAGGTGGCGCGCGGCGATGGCGACCTTGTCGTCGACGGTGTAGCCGGTCAGCTCGATCACCTGTGCGGGACGCGTCACGGACATGTCACGGACATGTCCCGGGCGTGGCCAGCGGGGCGTGTGTGGTCCGTCCGTGCGCTGGTGAGCGTCGGTCGCCTCCATGCGGTCGCGCAGCGGGCGAGGAATGCCCTCCATCTCGTTGGCGGTTGCGATGAAGAGCACCTGTGACGGGGCGAGGGGCACCTCACTGGGCCGTGCATTCCTCCGTCGTCTGCGGAGGCGAGGCGAAGGGCCGCCTGCGACAGGTTGAAGGGCACCGCCAGGAAGTGGTCGCGGAAAGCGCCGTTCTGCTCGGGGTCGAGGACCTCGAGCAGCGCGGAGGACGGGTCGCCGTTGTACGAGTTGCGACCGAGCTTGTCCACCTCGTCGAGCATGATGACGCAGTTCGCGGCGCCGCACTTCTTGACCGCCTGCAGGATGAGGCCGGGCAGCGCGCCGACGTACGTCCTCCGGTGGCCTCGCACCTCCGCCTCGGAGTGGATGCCTGCGCGACAGAGGGCAGCCGCAGCGTTGGGGCCCGCGTGCCCAGCAAGCCCCTCCCCGCCTTGGGCAGCGGCTGCCTCCCACGGAGACGCGGTGGAAGGGGCGGCCGAGCGCCGCGGCCACCGACTTGCCGAGCGACGTCTTGCCTGAGAGGACGGTTCGAGGACGGGTCCGGGAAGCTTCTAGGAAGAGGCCCGACCGACACTAGCCGCGCGAGGTCGTGCCGATGCCGGGCGGGCCGAGCATGCAGAGGATGGACCCCTTGGTGTCTCCGCGCAAGTGGCAGACGGCGAGGAACTCGAGGATGCGCTGCTTGACCTTGTCCATTCATAACTCACAGTCAATACCGGCAATACCTCCGTCATGAGTGCTTCCCCCGAGGGTGCGTTGCTGGCACCTTGTCCATCGCGTAGTGGTCCTCCTCAAGCTGCGCGCGCGCCTGCGAGAGCGGCACCGGCGGCTGCGGCGACTCGGGCGGCGCCCAAGGCAGCTCCGCCATCCACTCGAGGTAGTCGACGAGCGTCGAGTACTCGGAGTGCATCGGCGACATCCGGCGCAGCCGCCGCAGCTCGCGTGTCACCACCTCCTCCGCCTCTGCGGGCAGGCCTGCGGCACGCAGCCGCCGCTCGAGGGTGGGAACCTCGCCGTCCTCGTCGTCGCCGCCCGAGGGGCCGCCTGCTCACGGAGAAGCGGCGTGTGAAGGGACGCCCTCCACCCCCCCTCCTCGTCCTCGCCGGCCGTGGGCCCGCCTATCATCAAGTGCCGACGGCTCCTCCTCCACGGGTCGAGTCGACACGCCTCGGGCCCGGCTCAGGCCCCGCCGGGCATGAAGGGCAAGCCGATCGGCGGCGGCAGCCCGCCCGGGAAGGGCGGCTTGGACGTGTAGATCCGGAAGTGGACGGGCGCCTGCGAGGGGCCGTCCCGGGGGCGTGTCGTGGACGCGGCTCCGACGGCGCGGGAAGCTGCGGCGGAGTGGACTGTGGCCACCTCGCTCGAGTTGCCGGCCGAGCCGCGCTTGGGGCGAGGCTCGCGCGCGACCTGCCGCTCGATCTCCGAGATCAGGCCCGAGATCATCCCCTGCAGCTGCTCGACGATGCCGCCCTCCCCCTCCCCCTCCCCCTCCTCCCCCTCCCCCTCCTCCTCCTCCTCCTCCCCCTCGCCGCTCGCGTCGCCGCTCGCCTCTCCCGACGCATCGGCCCGCCTCCGCCCCTTGCCCTCCGCCCCCTCGCCCTCATCGTCGTCGTCGCCATCGTTGTCACCGTCGCCGCCGAGGCCGCCGCCGCCGCCGAGGCCGCCGAGGCCGCTCCCTCCCTCGCCTCCGTCGCCGTCGCCGTCGCCGTCTGCCGCCGCCAGCAGCTCAGCCGGTTGCGGCCAGCGGCGCGCGCTCCGCTCCGCGCGCAACATCGGCCCGCCGCTGCGGACGGCCGCGCCCTGCCGTTCGAGGGGCGGCGGGCGCACCTCTGCGCCGGGAGGCGCCGCCGATCCCACCGCCCGCGACGCGTCCCGCGCCCGCTCGTCTGCGCGCGCCTCCGCCTCCTCGTCGCGCTCGGCGAGGGCGATCGCGTGCTCGCAGGCGGCCTCAATGGCGGCGAGAAAGGGACGGCGCACGCGGCGGGCGAAGAGGAACGGCGCGCCGCTCTGGTCGCGCCGCTCGTCGCAGAAGCCAGCCGTACGCAGGCACGGTAGCGCGTGCGGAGAGGCGTCAAGGAGCGCACGGACGGCCGGGTCCCACAGGCAGAGCGAGGGACGGCCACCGCCTCGCGCCGCAGCGAGGCGGATGTAGCCCAGCAGCGCGCGTAGTAACCTCGACGGCTCTTCCGCGCTCTCACTCAGCCGATGCAGGTGCATCTGAAACTCGGCCAGCTCCGGTGACGCCTCCTCGGCGCCGCCAATCGTGAGCCGTGCCGAAGGCCGGCCCGAGTCACCAGGCCGCATGGACGACACAACGCCGCCGGCTGCCGCGCCGGCAGCAAGTGTCGCGGTCGTTATCACCAGCGAGAGCATGCGAAGTGGACTCTTGGGCCTTGGGAGGCCGCCGTCAGAGCCTCTGGGTTCCGGCTTCGAAGCACCCGAGGGGTCGCCGCGTCCAGGCTCCATCATCTCAAATAGGATGTGACCGATCGAGCCACGAGAGGAGCTTGTTGAGCACGATCGGGGTGGGTCGAGCAGTTCATCACTTTCATCTTCCTCACTCACTGCGTCACTGGCTGGCGCCTGGCGGTCTGTCTGGCTGACTGACTGCGTGTCAGATCTCAGGCCTCCCGCCCCTCCACCTTCGGGCTTGGCCTTTATACGTTATTCTTCCGATTCTATATTGCGAAAAATCTCTCTGTTGGCTCTGTTTCTATTCTTTTTCGAAGGACGAAAGGATTTTCAGCGATTTTCAGCGGGAATATAATGAATATTTGAGAATATAGGCCCGATTTGGAGCTGTATTCTTGGCATATTCGAGAATATAGACCCTGTTTGGGACAAGAATACGGAAAGAATACGGAAAAAGAATATAGATAGATAGTACTGGGCGAGAAAACCGTATAAAGGCCAACCTTCGGCTCGCGTGGATTCAGCTTTTCAGGCCCGCCCGTACCTACCTATGTGTCAACCCGGGACGGCCGCCTCGTGGCCTGGCACGGCCTGTTTAGCCGCGCTTCTCGCTCGTGGCCGCGCCATGCCTGACTGACCCTCCCCAAGCTGCGCGAGGACAGCGGAAAGCTGCGACCTCGGGCGATTATCCAGGACGCGCAGCACCCCTCGAGTATGATTCACTCATTAGCGACCGCACGACACGCCGCTCGAGCCCCTCCCTGCCTGCGCCTATGGGCGCGAAAGCGCTCGCGGCCCCTACCTACCTATCCAGTGGAGGCCTGTGGCACCTCAAACCCCTCCTGCCAACCTACCGACCCCGCCCCCCCCCTCAGCGCGAACTACGACCCCAGACGGCTGGGAGCCCGAACCCTGACAGGGTTGTGCACCCTTTGTTTCACCAGTGGCCCGCGAGACCTCGAGAGCCCGCGCGCCCGTCTGTTACGCGATCGATGCCGAGGCATGGATCCGCCGTCGCCCTTCCGGCGGCCGCCGCTCGTGACGCTTTCGGCACAGGAGGACGCGTACGCCACGCTGCTCGACGATTCGCAGTGGACGCAGGCCGCCGCATTTGGAGACGACGACCGGCGCGCTGCAAAACTACGCCCGAAAATACACGCTGCCCATCGACACCGTCGAGTTTGACTTTCACTTTTTCTGGGAGGCTCCAACGGCCAAGCCTGAGGACGGCGTGCACACGAGCGGTCTCTTCGTCGAGGGTGCGCGGATGGGCGACGAGAAGGTCCAGCTCGAGGAGTCGCAACCCAAGGTGCTATTCAGCCCAATGACTTACGTCCAGCTGCTGCCAGTGCAGTCGGACAAGCTGTCCACCTACCCCCACTATGAGTGCCCGGTCTACCGGACGACAGCGCGGCGCGGGACGCTCTCCACCACCGGCCATTCCACCAACTTCGTCATGTTCATGCGGCTGCCGACGGATCAGCCGTCATCACACTGGATAGCCCGTGGAGTGGCCCTGATCAACAGTCTGGCCACTTGACAATTTTCTAAGGCGAGGTGAGAGACTGTGCTCGTACGTTTACAGGTTTTGGCGTGTAAATTGCAATGCGCCATAGAGAGCCGTGTACGTTACACATGCAGAGAGAACCCGCCACAACCCTCGCCCAGATCCCCCGACCACCGTACTGACGTATGAACACACATGCGCGCGGCGACCATGATCTCTATTGGTGCAGGGATGCACACGCACGCGCCGATGCTGTGCCGCGCAGGGGTGTGTGATAGAAGCACCGCGCACATGGGCTCGTCGACGCCCATGTCGACGCCACCCTCTTCCGGGTTAGACTGCCGAATACACATCGATGCCAGAGGCGACGCGTCCCGCCAGCGCAGACAAATCGGGGGGCAGCAGGGAGGTGCTGGGGGGCGGGCGCTCGCAGATGAACGAGCGGTGCGAGGCGGGCGCGGCCTGCTCGCGCCGCTCGTCGTTAAGGCGCACCTATACGTGACATGCACATGGACATGGACATGGATGGGCTTGTGTCACGCACGCGCGCCGCGCCTCGGGAGGCGTGCGCACCCAGCGGTTGCGGACCGAGGAGTCGGACCGGCCGGGCAGCTGGGCGGCGATGCGGCGCCACTGCCCGCCGTGGAGGCTGTGGGCCTGCTCAATGAGCGCGTCCTCCTCGGCGCTCCACTTGGCGCGGCCGTGCTCGGAGCCGCGGATGCAGCGCGTCGGCCTCGCCTCAGTCAGAGCGCCGTGCTGCGGGCCGAGGCTGCCGCAGCTGGCCGCGCCGGGCGGGGGGGACTGGGCGGCCAGAAGCGCATCCACCGCCACTCGCTCCGATGCCTTGCGCTGATCCAAAGCCTTTCGGAGCTCTTGGTCGCTCTGAAGCCGTTGGAGGCGGTTGCGCACCGCGTCCGGCGTGCGCTGCTTTCCGCTCGGGGGCGGCGGCATCTCCGCAGCGACGAGCGGGAACTGCGTCCCGTACCGCCGCACGCCCGCCAGCAGCGCGAGGTCCTCCTCGACCGTCCAGCCCGTCGCGGTGTTCCCGCCGCGCATGCGCTTGGGCTGGCCGCCGTCCCGCGCGCTGCCACTCACCCTCCTCTTGCTGCCCGCCGCGCCTAGCCGCCGCCCGCCGCCACCGCCGTTGGCCGCGTCGCCACTCCTCGCAGGCGGGGCGCAGTGGAACATGGGAGAGAGTGCCGCCCCGAGCAGAGCGCAGGGCGCGAGCCTCGCCGCTCCCCACGGCTCCGCCACGACGACAGGCTCCGCCTTGGCCACGAGCACCTCCTCCCGACCTCCCTCGCCGGACAGTGAAGGCGCGGCCCTCGCCGCGGCCGTCGTCCAGAGCAGCGGCTTGAGCAGCAGGGGCTGCAGCGCCGCAAAGGTGATCTCCTATCCGACGCGCCGTGAACGTGTCACGTGCTTTAATCCACCGCGTACACACTCTCGAGGCGGACGCTTGAGCTGCCTCGTCGCGCCGTTCGTCCTGCTCGGTGGCGGCCCAGCGCGCGCGGAAGTGCGGCGCGAGGTACGACGTGACGTGGCCCTCCCTCGCCCCCCGCCGCACCTGAGCCTCGCGCAGAAGAGCCGAGATCAGCCGAGACCAGCCGAGACCAGCCGAGATCAGCCGAGACCAGCCGAGACCAGCCGAGACCAGCCGAGACCAGCCGAGACCAGCCGAGATCAGCGTCCGCGCGCCTTTGCCGCGCCGCCGAGGCGGACGCCTTGCACAGAGCCGGAGGTGACGCGCTGAGGCTTGGCCGCCGCCTGCGCCGTGCCAGCCGCCCGCGGAACCGCCGCCAGCGCCTTATCCTTGCAGCTCTGCGGGGCGGGGCGGCCGGAGGGGCCGGCCGCGCTGGGCGGCGGGTCGAGGACTACCACGTCCCTCTCCTCCACCTCCCTCTCCTCCACCTCCACCTCCTCCTCGGCGGCCTGCGCCGGCGCCTGCCCGCCGTGCTCCCCACCAGCCGCCTGTCCGCCCCGCGCCATTCCGAGCAGCATCTCTGCCGCCTCCTTGTCGCCTCCCGCCGTGCGCGGCTTCTGCGGGGCCCGGCGCGGCGCCTTGCGCACGCGCGGCTGCGTCGACTTGTCCGCCGCTTCGCCGCTCGACGTGGCGGCGGGCGAGACGGCGGGGAGGGCGGGCGGAGAGGGAGAGGGCGCTGGCAGGGGTGCGGGGGTGCGGCGCCCGCCGCGGCTCGCTCGCGGGTCCGTCTGTGCAACCTCGCGCTCCCAAAATGCCGCGACGAGGCCGCCCTCCACCTCGCTCGCACGCCGCCAGCCGGCGCCCGCCACCGCCTCGCCGCTGGCCTCGCGGTCGACGTAGTACTCCTGGATGGCGCCCACGACGCGCTCCGCCATCACCCGCGGCCTCGGCGCCGCCTGGTGCGCCGCCCGGGCGGCGGCGGGGGCGGCGGCGACGGCGGCGCGCGTCATGGACTCCACCCTCGCGCGCTCAAACTCGCGCACTTTTCCGCTGGCGAGGGCGAGGTTGGCGGCGGGCTCCCACCTTGCGCGCAGGGGAGTCGGGGGGTTGAGACGCAATCCCTTGTGGTGTGAAGGCGTCTCCGCTGAGGAGCACATCATACTTGGGGGTGGCGCATATGCGTGCATCTAGGCGGCGGCGCACGAGTCGTCAGCGCGAGCGTATCCCACCCAAGAGACAAGGTACTCGGGGCCGCTGGCACCGCGGTGGCGGGTGTCGAGGATGCGCTCGACCTCGAAGAGCTCCTTGCCGCCGTCCACCTTGTAGGGCCCGGCGCCCTTTCCCTGCGAACGTTGTGGTGGGGCGGGAGGCGGCGTGGCGGTCGGCGGCGGCGGTCGGCGGGGCGGTGGGCTGCGCTCGGCGGGCGGCGGGCGGTGGGCCGCGGGCGGCGGGCGGCGGGCGGAGACGTGGGCATGGGCCGGAAACCTTTAAGCTTGCACGCCCGGACTGGTTCTCGGCGACCGTGCCACTGGCCTCGGGGCGCATCGGCGGCGCGGGCGGCATTACGCGGCAGCTCTCGTACTCGTACCTGGCAGGGCGGCTGACGACCGGCCCAGCCTGCTTTTGGCGGGGGCAACGTACTTTCTTTCTCTCTCTCTAAAGTGGCTGTTCCGAAGGGATCTTGCAAGTCTTGTGCGCTTTGGAAGAGCAGCTCCTGATATATGACTGCTTTTGTCCGCGGACGCGAGGGAGCTGCGGAGGCGGGCGGCGGTGGCGGAGGCGGCTGCAGCACCAGCAGCACACACACGACAAAAACAAAAATTCTCTCTACTCACACACGGGCGGGCGGCTGCACGCGGGCGGCGGCTGCGGCGCGGCGGCGCTGCTCCTCTGCTGCTGCTGCTGCTGCTGCTGCTGCTGCTGCTGCTGCTGCTGCTGCGGCGGCGGCGGCGGCGGCGGCGGCGGCGGCGGCGGCGGCTGCTGCTGCTGCTGCTGCTTGCTGCTCCTGCTGCTGCTGCTGCTGCTGCTGCTCCTGGTGCTCCTGCCTGCTACCCCGCCCGCACCCCCTAGAGTGTACGAGGTGGGTCATTTGGGGCCACGGCCCTCACTCCGAATAGGTGAGCGAGGGCGTGTGTGGCTGACGACTCGGCTCATGAGCCTCGCGTGACTCGCACCTACTAACCTCGCCTCGATGCGGCGCCTCGTACACGCCCACCGGCCCACCGCGACACTCGCTTTGAATCTCCTCATGCATGCTCTGATGCTCTGCGTCTCTTTGCAGCTCTCCGCCGCCTCCGCCGTCTCCGCCGCCGCCGCCACTCTCTCCGCCGGTCCCACCATCGCCGCCCTCACCCTCGCCACCCCCACCCTCATCGCCACCAACCTCGCCACCTCCGCCCTCGCCGCCACCATCCTCGCCGCCCTCGCCACCACCATCCTCGCCGCCCTCGCCACCTCCGCCCTCGTCGCCGCCAACCTCGCCGCCAACCTCGCGTATGCTGCCGCCGTTGCCGCCAGCATACCCACCGCCGCCCTCACCGCCCTCACCGCCCTCGTTTCCGCCATACTTCACTCCGCAGTACTGGGGGCCCCCTCCGAGAGGGCCGATTTGATAAACCCTTCGTCAACCATCGCCTGGTAGTTTGTTCGGGGCATGCCGTTGAGCACAGATAAGCCGTTGCAAAGCGCAGTCTCGGCCTTTGTCATGCACTTCCCTTTGTCGTCAAACCACGCGCAGTCGCCATTGCACCACGATTTACCATTGCCCCTGGGGCACTCGGCGCACGACGTAGCGCGGTGTCCGCCGCAGGACACACCAACCTGCGGCAGGGGCGCATGAGTAAAGGGCGGTGGGGTGTGCGAGTGCGAGCGCAGATGGAGTGGCGAGAGAGGGGGCACGACCGCACTCTCCCGAGGGAAGGCGGAGGGGGGGGGGGGTCGTTTGAGATTGGCGACAAAGCTCGCACGCCGATCAAGCGCACGCACGATGGCCAGCGTCTGAGACGGGCTGCTCTCAGGGACCGGCAGAGCAGGCGGAGCGGGGGGAGGCGCACTACCGGGTCGTCTTCCTTCTCGGCCGGGAGGCGGGCCATCTTCTCGGTCGTCGTCGTCGTCGTCATCTGAGCCCGCACAGCTCGGATCAGACCAGACTGCTACTGTCGCGCGAGGCCAGCAACATAAAATTTGAAGGAGGGGGCGGGGGGAGAGCGGAGATAGCAGGCGACTGGTAACCACACCAAGGCGCGCACACCTTGAACGGCTCAATCTTTCCAGCCGCGACGAACGGCGCCTTGAGCGCTAAACCCGGGGACAGCGCATGCGTGGCGAGAGCGTACCGACCGCCCCGCCTGCAAAAAAATAAGTGTGCTCAGTATTTCTAGCCCAGTAGGATTCCTACGAGAGGTGCAGGATACACCGTGTCGGGTTGGAGATCGAGAGAGCGCGGAGTAATATCAGACAGAGAGAGAGAGAGAGATGACCGCACCGCGTACCCTCCCCACTCCCGCCTCTCATTTGTGTCACACCACGCGGAACGCATCTCCATCGCTTCGGTGAAGGGGGTGAACCGTGCCATCCTCGATCGCCGTGCAAAGCTCGCTTCCGAGCTCTCACGCCGCGCGTAGGGCCCTTAGGGGCCTAGAGAACACAACCCCCTCTCTCTTTTCTCCCAGTAAGCTAAAAGTACGACAGAGTGAGTCAATAGACACAGACCCTCGCGTATCTAGATAGCCATTTGGAGCACTTGGAGTTTTAGCCATTTTACAGTCAGTCGTAAGTACTCGACTCTTGGAGCTACGCTACCCGATTTGTTTTGGCTGCTTGGAGGCAGGAAAAACAGGGGTCGGCGGCAGCTTCTTCGCCACTGCCTCCTGCGGGCGTGCATAAGCCGAGAGCCATATGTCCTTCACAGCGGCCCAGCGCTTCATCGGCAATGTCCGATCGATGCTGCCGCGGCTCGTCAACAGCGGCGTCGTCGTCAACGGGGAGCCCATCCTGTATTGCGAGCCGCGCGCCGTGCCGGCGGTGCTGACCTTTCTGCGAGACCACTCTGGCACGCGGTGCAAGCAGCTGAGCGATTTGACCGCGGTGGACATCCCGACGCGAGAAAAGCGCTTCGAGGCGCCCGTGCCGGCCTCCTGCGCGCGGCGCTTCTGCCCTCCTCTGCCGCCTGCGCGCGCGCTGCGACGCCTCTCTGCGTGCGCAGCGCGCCGGCCGCGCAGACCGCCGGGCTCAACCTGCTCCGCCCCGCGCGCGCGCAGGTCATGTACCAGCTGCTCAGCGTGGATCACAATAGCCGCTGCCGCGTCAAGACGCTCTGCGGCGGGCACGAGGGCGACGAGGGCGTCCCCTCGTCGGTCGGCGTCTTCAACTCGGCAAACTGGCTGGAGCGCGAGGTGTGGGACATGTACGGCATCTTTTTCCACGGGCACCCCGACCTGCGCCGCATCCTGACCGACTACGGCTTCCAGGGCCATCCCATGCGGAAGGACTTCCCGCTCTCCGGCTTTGTCGAGTGCCGGTACGACGCGACCAAGAAGCGCGTCGTCACGGAGCCGCTCGAGCTGACGCAGGAGTTCCGGCAATTTGACCTGCTCTCGCCGTGGCAAAAGCCCTAGTAGGGCACGGCGCGGCGTCTCGTGTGTCGCGTCTCCGGCCTCGCACACGGCGTCGAGCGGCGACGAGACGCTCGTGTTCCTCCGTACGGGGAGGCTGCAGCGCGGCGCAGCGCACGCGTGCTGCCCCCGCCTCGTACCGCAGTCGAGCGCGCCGCCGCCGCCGAGACGCGGTGGGGTTTTGTATTCTCGATCTTACTAGTAGTAAACAATATGGAATGTTTTCCGTCAAGACACTCATCGCAGCATTCTCACCATTCTGACCCACATTCTTCCGCTTAACACGCGAGTCCAAAGAAAGAAAACAATAATCCAAGGGAGGGATGGTAGGACGGATAACACGCGAGTCCGTGAATAGTTGATGGGTATCGTAATTCGGGGCTCGGGGTTGTGCGTTTACGAAGGGAGAGAGAGAATTCTTGATACGAAACCACGACGACACACACCAGTCGACTCGCATCGGTTGCCTCCATGAACGGCGGAGCTATTCTCGCGCCCACACCACACCTGGCTCCAACGTGGACACACCCATAGCTGGGGACACTACTAGGTCACGCATGGCATCACAGAAGTTTTATCTCTGGGCCCCGAAAGGCATCTCTAGCAGTGTCGTTACACATGCCCCCTCCCCTCCTGGGCGCATGCACCTCACGTCTCGCCAGAGCATACGCCCTTGGTGTGTGGCGAGACGAGTTTTTCGCCATGCAGCGAGCAGCAAGCCGCCCGCCGCAAACAGCCGGAGGCCTCGCCGCGGCACTGGCTGCGCCGCGGTCCCGCACCCGTCGACGCAGCTCCCCCCGCGGAAGACCGCGCGTAGCGACGCCTTGACGATCGAGATGAGCGCGCTCGAGGCTCGCCCACCTACTGCCCCTCTCTCTCTCTCTCTCTCTCTTTACGAAGGGTTTTTTCGTCTTCTTTTTCTTTGATTACATTGCCGCCGAGCGCTGTCGCGGGCAGCCCCACCGAGTGCTGTCGTCCCATGTATATGCCACCTCTTGGATCCCTCTTCAGCCTCGCTGGCAAGACCGTCCTGGTGACTGGCGCCTCGAGCGGGCTGGGAAAGAGCATGGCCCTCACGCTCGCAAAGGCCGGTGCATCGGTCGGATTGGTCGCACGGCGGAAATCGCAGCTCGACGAGGTTGCGTCGGACATCGCGGCGCTCGGCGGCAAGGCGCACGCCGTGACGCTCGACGTGACGCAGGTTTCCGCCATCGACCCGGTGCTGGCCGAGGTTGAGGCGAGCCTCGGCCCGATCGACGTGCTCGTGAACAACGCCGGCCTCTCGCTCGACGAGAAGGCTCTCCAGGTCGAGGAGGCGGCGTACGACACCGTGCTCGGCGTCAACACGCGGGCGCCCTTCTTCCTGGCGCAGGCGGTGGCGCGGCGGATGGTCGCAGAGAAGAGGCCCGGCTCGATCGTCAACATCGCGTCGCTCATCTCGCTCAAGGTTGTCAACAACCTCGCGACGTACGCAATGTCCAAAGCGGCGCGCAGCAGAGCCTCGGACGCGCCGCACGCGCGACCTCCCCTTGCCGCACCCGGAGCCGCGCGTGCGCCTGGCCTCTGCCTACATGAGCGCGATGTCCCGCCGCTCTCTCTCCCCTCACAGGCGCTGGACCACATGACGCGCGCTCTGGCAAAGGAGTGGATTCGCCACGGCATCCGCGTCAACAGCATACAGCCGGGGTACATCCGGACCGAGATCAACTCTGAGTTTTTCGACTCGCCAGCCGGCCTCGAGTTCATCAGCCGCATGCCAAACAAGCGGCGCCGAGATCTAGCCGAGATCTAGCCGAGATGCAGCCAGCCGAGGTGCAGAAGAGAGGAGGGGCAGCCGAGATGCAGCCGAGATGTCGCTCGCCGGCCTCGAGTTCAACGGCCGCATGCCAAACAAGCTGCGCGTAGCCTCCCCTCTCCTCTCCCGGTGCTCCGCTGCGCGAGCGGTGGCGGCAGCCGCGCCACACCACCTCCACTGGCCGCAGGCTGGGCGAGCCTTCGGACCTCGACGGCCCCCTCCTCCTCCTCGCCAGCGAAGCCTCCAAGGGCATGACAGGCAGCCGCTCCACGGCCACCCCCGACTCCTCGCCGCCCCCGCCTCATGCCACACCGCTCGGGAGGCTGGTGCATCCTCACAGCGGCGGCTCGCGTCCGCAGGCGCCTGCCTCCTCGTCGATGACGGACAGATCAACTCCAAGATCTAGCGAGCCGTCGAGTTGGTGGTATTGGGGATGTGGTCGCTGCAACTCTCTATACTATCCCGCATCGCGAGACGTGAGGCGAAAAGGCGGTTTGACGTGATGCCGCGTTGTTCTCTCTATGACAACGATGTGAAAGTGTGGGCAGGCTGCAAGCATTCTGCGACTCAAAATGTCTACGTAATGGCTAACGTTCTAAAAAGTATCTATTCTCTGGTCTCTCGTCGTCCGCGACCGCGTGTCCCGTGTCTGAACACACTCTCACTGAAGCCGGGCGTTACAAGGGCGATCACGAAAAATGAGCTGCACTACTAACCTCTAACTAACGCCTGTCACCTCGCAGCGTACAACACAGCGTCTGTTGACCACGGCCACTCATCAAACGCCTCGTCCCAATTACCCAATCCCTCATACCACACCTCGAAGCCCTCGCCGCGCAGCCGCGCCACCGCCTCTCGGAACGCGTGCATCGAGCGCTGCTTGGTGAACGACCACTCACAGACGAGCCGCCTCACGCCGCGCCATGCGCCCGGGTCAAAGGAGGAGAGCAGCGCCAGCTCCGCCCCCTCGCAATCCATCTTGACGAAGGTGATCGTCTCGTCGAGCAGCTCGAAGAATGGCACCGATCGCACCTCGACGGCACGCGCGCCTTCCTCCGCCTTGTAGTGCGAGAGGCCGCGCAGCGCGTGCCTCCAAGTGTTGTCCATGCCGTCGGAGCGCGCCACACCGAGCAGCAGCGTCGCGCTGCCGGCCTCGGCCGCGTGCCGCACGACCGCCGCCTCGACGAGCGACGCTCTGCCCGCCGCGCCCGCGCCCGCGCAATTTTGCCGCCACAGCGCGGCGTTCGACGGCTCCGGCTCGACCGCCACCACGCGCGCGGCGCCGGCGGCGAGAGCGGCGCGCGTGAAGACGCCGATGTGAGCGCCCACGTCGAGCACGGTATGCCTAATTCAGAGTTAATTACGTTAATTAAGAGTTGATTAAGATTTTATTACGTCGAGCACGGTATGCCCCTTCGGGGAGAAGGGCGCGGCACCGAAGGCGCCCCAGCTCCAGCGCGGGTCGCCGGGCGGGGGGCCGCTGTACGCGGGTCGCCGTCCGAGCAGCTCGGCGAGGACCTAGAAGCTTCCTAGAAGGCTCCTAGAAGGCTCCTAGAAGGTCGCCGTCCGAGCAGCTCGGCGAGGACCAGCTCGTCGCTCGAGCGCGGGCGGTAGGAGAGCGGCGGGGAGAGGCTCGCAGCGAGGCTTGCGGGGTCAGGCCGCGGCGCGGGGGTGAAGAAGGTGAGCCGGAAGGTGCCGCTGCTGCCTGCGGCGAGGGGGAGCGTCCAAACCGCCGGCCCGCCGCCGCGAGCGTCGTCCTCGTCGCCTCGCAAGAGAGTCGGCGAGTAGAGCGTGCTGCGCGGCGGGCCGCCGGCCAGCACAACCTCTCCCCCGCCACGCGCGCCGCCGAGAGAGACCACCAGCGCCGGGACGCCACCCTCCGTCGGCGGGAGCTCGTGCGGCACCAGGTCGGTGTCGAGAGAGACGGCGCACAGAGCAGAGGGAGGCCGGCCCGCCGGCCCGACGGCGCGCTCGAGGCGGAACAGGGAAGGCGCGAGGGCCGGGAAGGCGGCGTTGGCACGCGCCGGGCGGCCGAGCGTCGGGTGAGCCAGCGTGAAGGTACCGCCGTCCCTCGTGCCGCACCCGAGCTCGACACGCGCCCGGGCGGCGGCAGACGCCGGCCACCTCCGGCCGCCCTCGGCGGCGTCGTTGAGCCGGCGCAGCGCGTCCATGTACTGCAGCGGCGGCTCCGACTCTGCGAGGCGTTGCTCGAGCCTCCACGAGCGCTTGAAGACGAGGGAGATGCGGCTGCCCGCCCGCGAGCCGCCGAGGGCCGCTTCGAGGCCGACGCCGCCGCCAGGCCTCTCGCGGACGACCGAGTGCTGCCACGAGGCCTGGCAGTCCGAGTGCATGTGGCAGACGTCGCCGTGGCGGACGACGAAGGTGGCGCGCGCGTGCGGCTCTCCCACGCGCCGAAAGGTGAAGAGGCGCGGCGCGCCGACAGAGACGACCGCGGTCGAGAGGCCCCACTCGCCCTCGCCCTGCCCCGGGTCCGAGTGGAACCGCATGCCGGAGCCGCCGTCCGGATAGTGGTTCGCAAGCACCGAGCAGTAGTGCCGCCCGAGCGAGCGAGACACCGCGTCGCGCACGGCCGCCACGCCGCCGCTCAGCTCGCCGGCGGCGGCCATCGACTTGCCGGAGTACTCGAAGGAGAGGCCCGCGTCCGAGAGCCAGCACGTGCCCCGGTCCTCGAGCACCACCTCCTGCGAAGGCACTGCAGATCCCGACGAGATCGCGTCGCGTCGCAGCGGCAGCTCCGCCGCCATCGCCGCCACAGTGGCAGCCGTGTCGTCGCCGTGGCCGTACCGGCCCAGCGCCTCGGCGACTGCGCCGACGTGCACACGGAAGGGCGCCTCGAGGGCAAGAGCCGCGACCGCGGCAGGCACGGGCACGCCGAGCGTCTCGCAGGCCCACTCTGTCGTGGCGGCGACGTGCGGAGCAAGGACCAGCCGCGCGCTGTCGAGCGGCGCAGCGAGCGCGGTTGCGGCGGTACGCACCGGCGCCGCGTGCCGCGCCGGAAAGATCACTGCGAGCGACCAGACCGCGGCGCAGCGCAGCGCGTCGGTGAGCGAGGCGTCCGCCGCCGCAAGGGCAGCGATCGAGCCCTGCAACCGCCTGTCGGCTCGCAATCGCGCGCCATCTGCCTCCGCCTCCGCATTGCGAGGGACCAGCAGCGCGAGGTGCTGCAGCGCAGCCACGGCGTCGGCCGCTCGGGGTGGTTGCTCGCTCGACGAGATGGCCGCGTCGGAGAGGAGCACGAGTGCCGCGTCGGTCGACCGCGCGCGCTGCAGCTGGCCGGCGAAAGACGCGGGCTTCTCTCTCGGCCGCCATTGTTTCCTTGAACCACGCGTGGCCTCGCCGGTGCCCGGCCTTTGCCTGGTGGGTCGTCGCTGTTTGCGCCCGGCCTTGGCAGCGAGCGCTGGCGGAGTACTGCGGAAGGGAAAGGACGAAGAAAGCGGCGGGGCAGCAGCGCCGGCCGGGCGTGGCGCCAGCGAGACGACGGCGGTCCACAATGATATCATCGCGAGCTCACGGCAATTTTTTTTTTCGGATGTGAGCCTACCGACCCAACGGTTCGGGTGGGAGACGGCTAGCACCACACTCCTTTGTTTCAAATCCCTGTGTGGTGGCGGCGTGCCGTCCTCCCATCCTTCCCTTTTGTCTGTTTTCTTTCTTAGGCTACCGACTGCATCCAAGTGCTCTAGTGCAATGTGCAAGAGAAATCTCTCTGAGTGCCATAATACTCGCATAATGTAGGTAAACGGAAACAGTACCGCCCAATTCGTCTACGTACGGCTTGGGGGGTGGTTGGGGTGGCCTCAGTCAGGCCTCCCAAAGGGAGCCTCAGCGGTGCCCCATAAGCAGCTTAGTGATTGTCGAGACTTTAAAGTATTCGTTGGAAGAAACGCAAACAAGTCCAGGCCGCAGGCGGTACTATGGTCACCAGTAAACGAAAATTCGACTTTGAGGGATCATATCTCAAAAGGCTGGGTGAGAGCATAGCATTACGTTGCATATTTAGGCCGCATAAAGGTCAGACTTGAGACCCAGAAGCATCAAGAACCCGATGCTCCGGCTCGACTGTGCCGGCACACTGCCTCCTCGCGCCAGCTGCTAGCAGGCCGTCGCGGCCCGTGGTGCACCAATCAGAGAGGTCGACACGTTGCCCCCGCCGGCGAGTCCGCCAAACACACAAACCTCTCTCGAGTCCCGCGCGGCTCGCGAGTGGGCGCAGAAGGAGCTCGCCGTGACACGATGCCGGGCGGTGGTGGTGCTCTGGCGACTGTGCACAGTGGGTAAAGTCAGGCTGCAGGGGAGGCACGAGGTTCACGGTTCTTTGAAAAAAGAAAAAACTGTTGATTCGGAACTAGGTTTCGTTGAGTCGAGTAACGATTGCGTGATAAGAATGGGGAAAAGCCCGACCGGCTCCTTCGCCGAGGCCATCGAGGCGCTTCGCGCCGAGGTGCACGCCGTGGAGAGGCGCGAGCGTGAGGCGCGAGCGGAGGTGCGCGGTCTTGCTTCCCACACTCTCGAGAGGCACCTTGCATCTCTTGACGATAACCACCGCCCCTCGCTCTCAGACCGACACGTTCTTCCTCCTCTTCTGCGGCTCTCTTGTTTTCATCATGCAGGCCGGGTTCGCCCTTCTCGCTGCTGGCTCGGTGCGGATGCGGTCCGTGAAGAACATCCTTCTCAAGTCGGGTGACTCCTAGCCGAGCGCACTCACAAGCACGGCTCCGCCACTGACTGCTCGCGCCTCCCCTCCAGTGATGGACGCTTGCCTCGGCGGGCTCATCTGGTACCTGTTTGGCTTCGGCCTCGCATACGATGACGGCGACGGGCCAGGCAACCCCTTCATCGGATCGAGTTCCTTCAATTTTGCCCTCTCGGGCGTCGACGACTCGGCCGGCGACGACAATGGCACGCCGCGGCGGGAGCGCAGCCACCATTCTGCAGGCTAAGTAATGAGTTGCCGGGCGGTGCTAAGCAGGAACGCACTGGATCAAGTTCTTCTTCCAGTACGCGTTTGCTGCGGCGGCCGCCACCATCACCTCTGGCGCGGTGGCCGAGGCGTCCTCCGCACGTCCTGCCCTACTAGAGCACTTGGAGCACTTGCGACTGTCGAGCGGCTCTCGTGCTTCATGCATCCGTCCATGTCCTCACTCCGTCTGATGCACCTCCCTCGCCCCGCCTCGCAGCGGTGCACCCTAGTCGCCTACCTCCTCTACGTCGTGCTGATCGTCGGCTTCATCTACCCCGTGATCGTGCACTGGGTCTGGGACCCGGCGGGCTTCCTCTCCGCCTTCAACAAGGACGCCGTCCTCACAGGCATGATCGACTTTGCCGGTTCGGGCGTTGTGCATATGACTGGCGGTGTGTGCGCACTCTCGGGCGCCGCCATCATCGCGCCGCGCCGCGGTCGCTTCCATCCCCAGAGTGACTGCTCCGGCGCCGGCCTCGACCAGCCAGGCACCGGCGCATTCCAGGGCCAGTCGGCGCCGCTGCAGGCGAGCTCGCAAAGCGTCGGAGGTCAGCATCGGCCCCCCTCCTCTACTTCAACTCCTCTGGCGTTCGTGCCCCCACCCACCTTCAGGTGCTCGGCACTTTCCTTCTCTGGTTCGGCTGGTACGGCTTCAACCCGGTTTTCTTCTGTCTAGATGCGCCTCGGCCAGCGCCTCCCCCCACCCCCCTCCCCCTCTAGTGACCCAGTGACCCTCTTCACCCCCATGAACCTATCCTCTCCAACCCCACGCCACCCTTTTTTGCCAGGGCTCCACCCTCGCAATCCACGGCTACGCACGGGACGCGGCGCGGGCGGCAGTCACCACCACCCTCGCCGCCGCCGCCGCCGCTACGGCGGGGCTGCTTCTCAAGCGCGGCCTGCCAGGGCGGCTCGGCGGCTCCCTGGTCTGGGATCTTGGCCATAGCTGCAACTCGTTGCTGGGCGGACTCGTCTCAATCACCGCGGGTTCGTGCGCGTGAAGATGCAGCGCCCGGCCCCCGCCCCCCTCTCCGAGGCCTTGCCTTCATAACCGCGCAGGCTGCTCGGTCGTCGCGCCGTGGGCCTCGATCCTCATCGGCGCCCTCGGCGCCGCCGTGTACCACGCGGCCTCGTGCAGCATGCGCAAGCTCAAGATCGACGACCCGCTCGACGCCTTTGCAGTGCACGGGGCATGCGGCCTGTGGGGCTGCGTCGCCGTGGGATTCTTTTGCACGCCCGCCTACTCGTACGCGCCGCACGCCGACTCGCAACTGTACAGCACGCTCGGCGGCTACGACTGCGGGGTTCTCTACGGCGGCAGCGGACAGCTGCTCGCAGCGCAGATCGTGTCCCCCCTCCTGATCGCGCTCTGGGCGGGCTCGCTAAGTGCGATCGCGTTCGCAGGCATGCGAACTGCCAAGATGCTCCGCGTGTCGGAGTATACGGAGAGGATCGGACTCGACAACACCAAGCACGGCGGTGGCGCGTACCCGGCCATCGACGCGGCCATTGACGCGGCCATCAAGGAGGTGCAGAAAGGGACGGGGGACTCTTTTCCTCTCCCGCCTTATCCCTGTCCCCGCCACTCCCTACCTCTAACACCGCTGGCACTGCTGCAGGTATCGTCGAGCCTGAAGAAGGATTTGCGCGAGCCGTCGGCGCACAAGATGAAGGAGGACACGGCACCGGGTGCCCAATCGACCGACACGAGCCCCGCTTGGACGAGCCCGGCCCTCTCTTGCAGCGACGGTATCGCCGCCCCCCCACCCATCGCAGCCGAGGGCTGGGAGCGCCAGGCAAGGAGCAAAAGGCACCCCAGCCGGGACCTCGGACCGACCGGCGAAGACTCGTCAAACACAGCGAGCGCCTGATCAGTCAAGCACGGCAGAAGCTGGCGCAAAAGGTCGAACAGGAGACCTAGACGTCGTCCGCCCTTCAACGGCTTACGCCAAAAGGCTCGCCCCCAGACACCCCTCATGTTCTCGTACGGACGACGTCGCTCGTTGGCCTAGGCTAGAGTGGCAGTACCAGTAAAGCCGTAGACGGTGTGGTTATGCGTCTGAATGTCTGTCTCTGTCTCCCTCTCCGCCGAAGACGAGAAGGGCGGCGCGGAGGAGAAGAGTCTCGCGTGTGGGTGTGAAAAGGGTGAGGTCTGAGGACACACAACTTTTGTGAGACAGAACGCCTGGAAACCCCCCTACACCGCGGCCGGTTGATGGTACGCATACGCAAGCGTACCTGTACGCCGATCAGCTGCGCGGCCCTGGAGGCGCTGACGCTGCCATGCTGGTCGTTGCCAGTGTGCTCGCGCCCGAGACGCCTGCCGCGCTGCCAGGAATGGGTGGAGCTTGCCGGGCAGGAGCCCCGTGGCGAGCGGAGGGGCAGGCAGGAGTACCAGAAAGCGAAGCAGCGAGCCGAGGGTATCGTTTCGGAGGTCCATTTCCCTTGGGCTGTTGAGCACGTGGTAGTCTTGGGAGGTGGACGGGAGACACTGCCGGCCGCGCGCGTTGAGCTGCTGCGCCCTGTGGTGGCCGGTGCCCACGGCTCGCGCGAGCGTCGAGTACGAATCCGTGAAGAACCCACAGTTGGTGGATTCGAGCAGCCCCGCCGCCTGCGGCCACGAGGGCATGAAGAGGAGGTTTGACTCGTGAGCACCGACAACCGAGATGACCAACCAAGCGTCCCGCCAAAGCTCGATCTGTGGGCGAGCTGCGTAGCAAGCCCTGCCCGCAGGCAGGTTCGTCCGGCCAAGAGCCTCCGCATCGCCGGCGTCTACAAAGTCCACTCCAGCGCGTGCAGCGATGGCGCGTAGCTCCGTCACGGCCTCTGGCCGGTTGGTCCACCGTGACTGGGTGCGGCGCGTCAGCAGGACCACGCGCCTCCGTGACGGCAGCACGACAGCAGATGGGGAGGACCCAGCCAGGCGGTAGGCCGCGGCGAGAAAGGGAGCCGCCAGGAGGTTCGGCCCGGCTTGCTGCATTCGGCCGGTGAGCAACATCTCTCGGTTCCACGCACCCAGCCGGTCCTTGAAGGAGCGGCCGCCCTTCGGTTGAAAAGAGAGCAGCCCGTCGAAGCAGCGAATCAGACGCGGCGTGCAGAGAGCCAGCGGTGGCCGCGGCGGCGCCGCAATGCCAAGCGCGTTAGCGATCGAGAGGGAAGCAGATTGTGCCAACAGAGCAAACATCTCGCTGTGAGCGCCGCGGGCCATGAAGGCAGGAGTGCCCGATGATGCTGCACCCGAGCAGTGGACGACGCTGGTTGAAGCAGGGATCGTAGGCAGCAGCGTGCGGCCGAGCGCGCTCAGATTTGCGCGGCCGCGGCTGGCGGCACTGGCGGCGCGGAGGCGTGCGCGCAGCTCGAAGCTATTGGACTGCACAACGAGCGAGGAGTAGAGCATCGCGCTCGACCAATGGAGCAGGTTTGTCCAATCGAACGCGTGCGTGTCGCCGTGCTTGGAAACAAGCATGACGCTCACGCCCGCGTGGTGCTCTACTCTTCTGCCTGCCCGCAGTGCAAAGGTGCGGGGGAGGAGCCTTGCTGTGAAAGGCCCATCGCATTCCGGTGGGTGGGCGAGGCAGACGTCAGTGGCAAAAGTGACGGGCGGAGCGCGCCCGGTGGAGCGGCGGCTCTGAGCGATCACTCCGCCGACCAGGAGCGCGACCAGCATACGAGCAGCGTGATGCGGAGCTGCCGGGAACGCCTCGTCTTGAGAAGCGCGAGCGCCGGCGGGCGCGAACCCCTTTTCTTTTTTGACTCGGCGACACAAAAGCGGAGTAAAACGAGGAGTAAGCAAAGTTCTCTCGGTGACGGTGTGTCGCCCCCATTCCTTCCTCTTCGGCCCCCTGATTAACGGCGCTCGGGCCTCCCAGCACTGCGCCTCCACAAACCGAAAAGAGGCTGTGGCCCCAACCCACGCTGCACGCATGCTCAGCGCTGCAGCCACTTTGGAACCTTGCGCTCCTTTCCTTTGCCAGCCGCCGCCGCTTCGCCGCTCGTCGATCCGAGCGGCGGAGCGAGCGCGCCGCCACCGCCGGCGGCGGAGCGCGACGGAAGATTGAGCGCCGACGGGAAGGACGGCTGAGGCGCGGCGGCGGCGTCGGGCGGGGCAGCGAGCAACGCGAGGGCGCGCGCCGAGAGCACCTCGCTCGGCGTGCTGCCCGCCGCGCCCGCGCTAACCGGTGGGTCGAAGCCAAGCAAGAGAGTCGCCGCTGGGACGAGGCCGGCGGCGGCGAGGGAGAGGGAGACGTCGAGCACGCGCCGGGGCGGGGTCACAAACAAGTAGGGCTGTGCCGACTGAAGCGTCGGCGAGAGGCAGCCGCGCACCTCGGCCAGCACGGCGCCCACCGCCTCTTGCGGGTGAAAGGCCGCCTGCAGCACGAGCCCGCCCGGCAACCGCACGCGGACCAATGCGTGCCCGTACGTCGGCATCGACTGCAGCGCCTCGAGCTCGCGCATCGCGCGCGTCTTGAGCTGCCCGCCTCCGCCGCCGTCGCCGCCGCCTCCGCCGCCGAGCGCAAGCGCGCGCAAGTCGTCCGCAGTCACCTCGTAAAAGTCGTCCGCCGGCTCCTCCTCGGGCGTCGGCGCGGCGGAGCGCAGCGCGGCCGCGGCAGCCTCCTCCGCCGGGTTGACGATGCGGAGCGCGCGGCTTGCGGGAGCGACGTCGGCGCGCACCTCGAGCTTCTGCCGCTTGAGGGCCTCCACCTGCGCCTCGGTGATGGTGCGTCCGCGCGAAGAGCCTGCCCCGCCCGAGGGACCAGCTCTGCCGATGGGAGCAGCAGAGGCGGAGGCGGAGGCGGAGGCGGGCGCAAGTGGTGGCGGCGGCGGCGCAGCTCCCTCCTCGCTCACTGGCGGCATTGGTGGCGGCCGCGCTGCTGGCCGTGGCGGGGCGGCGCGCTGAAGCGCCTCCGCCTCCTGCAAGAGGTGTTGCAGCGGCTCGAGCGAGCTCGTCGGCGGCAGCGACCACGTCCGGTCGTCGCCGCCCGCGGCGCCGGCGTTGAAGGCAAAGCCGGCGAGGCGGAGGACCTGCCGGCCGGCGGCGTGCCTATGGGGCGAAGACACGGACGCGTCACGGACGTGTCGTGCGAAGCGGAGGGCGGCTGCTGTAGCGTGTCGTGCCGGCCGATGGCTCGCTTGAAGGCGGCGTTCGAGTGGCGAATCGTGCGGTAGCGCGCCTCGTGCGGGCTCCGCATAACGTTGGAGCCGTAGCGGCAGAGGAGCGACAGCGACCGCTCGCCCGCCGCGCCCCCGCCGCCGTCCAGGACGGCCGCGTCCGCGTCCGCGTCCGCGTCCGCGTCCGCCGCCGCCTGGGCTTGCGCCTGCAGCGCCCTGAGCGCCTCCGCCATCATCGTGCGCAGCGTGAGTCCGTCGGCTGCCGCGGCCGCTGCGTCGGCGGGCGATGGCTGCAGCTGCGCGGGCGCCGGCGCCGCCTCGGCCGCCGCCTCGGCCACCGAGGCTGCACCACTGCATGGCACAGCTCGCTCCTGGGCCGGTCCGTCCGCGATGCTGGGCTGCGGCGGCGCCGCTGGCACGGCGGGGATACCCTCGGGGCCGCCCTCGGCTGGGAGGGAGACGAAGCGCACGAGTACTGCGCTGCCCCTCGCGACGCCGAGGCTGGCAAGTGTCGTGCTACGCAGCTGATCCTCGCCGGTCGCGACGACGCGGAGGTCGCCCGAGCCTCCGTAGAGGATCGCAGGCGCGTGTCCGGCTGGCATGGCGCCGTCGGCCAGCTGTTCGGGGCAGAGCGCGCGCACCACCTCTAGCAGGCTGCTCTCATCGCCGAGTGACCCAGTGCGGCGGTCGCCCGACTCCAGCTGGACGGCGACCCGGCACGGCGCCTGGCTGCTACCGCGCGGGGCGGTATGTCCGTCCTCAACCACCTCGATGAGCGCGTTGTTGTCAAGCCCAGAGAGGCGGAATGTGATCGACAGGTCGAGGTGTTTGCGTGTGCGGCCGTGCCGGAGGCCTCGCGTCGCCACGTCGAGGCCGCGTTTTGTGCAGGCCGCTGAGAGCACCTCGCGGAGCGTGGTGTTTGGTGCAACGGGCACCTTCTCGCGGACGCCGCGCCCAAGGTCGACTTGGAGAAAGGGCATCGCGGCGTGAGAGCGCTTTGGTCCTGTCTCGCGCGCCGCCGGCCGCCAGCGATTTTTTTGTTTTGATCGCGGGATGGAACACGCTGCTTCACTTCTAAAGTACCGCCCGGCCGTACAGAGCTCCCGATACCTCACCGGCCCCGGCGCCCACGCCTCGACCTTCTTGGGCAGCAACTGGTTCGACAGGTCCTCTCCATGGCCTACCTAGACAGCCATCCTTCGCCCTTTGCCCCAGCGCCCAGGTGAGTGAGATGGAGAAAAAGATTTTCACCCCGCGCATGCCGGTCAGTCAGTGTCAGGTAAATACGACGGGGGGGGCACACGCACTCGCGGAACACGGGGCATTACACCCGAGGCGTTGACTTGTGTGCGTTCTCAGGGAAAGGCATCACCACAGACAGAAGTGCAAACTAGTCAGAGGGGTGGGGATCCCCACTCACGGCCCCGCGAGCGCCCGCAGCGAGGTGTCAATCGCCGTGTTGGTCCTCGCCAAGCACCTGCGCACTGGTTTAGAGCGCGCGATCCGCGGGGAGGGTGGCCTGGCCCTCGCCGGCATGGCAAAGAAGGCGTCGGGTGGGCGCCTGTCCTCCAGCGTTTGGCGCCAGGCCGCAGAGCATTGGGTCGTCTAGGGCGTAGATTCGCCCATACTCTTCGTCGAGTTGCGGCTCGAGTCCCACGCGTTGAGCAGGCTAGCGACACGCGCCTTGTCCATGCGAAAGATGGTCGGCTGGGGAGGGAGCGCGATCTCTGCGCCGCCGTCCCCAAACTGCTTCGCCAGCAGCGCCTTTGTTGCGGCGCGGGGCGTCTCGCGGACCCGCTGCAGGACGTCTCGCACGTCGCCGGTGTCCCCAGCAGCCTCCTGCAGCTTCTTCAGGCCCTTGTCGAGCCACGCGCTCAGCTGCCTCGCCGATACCGCGACGCGGCTGGAAGATGTCGAGGCGGCGGACCCGAGCGTCTGGTAGCAGCGCTCAAAGAGCAGCTCCTGCGTGAAGACGATGTAGCCGCGGTTGACATCCCCGTCCTCGGCGCCGCCGGGCTCCTTCTGCGTGAGCACGTGCAGCAACCGCTGGACTGCTACGAGGTACCAGTTGGCGTCGGCGTCGGCGGCGGCCGCGCGGGGCGGGTGCCCGTAGTTGCACGTCGGCATGTCCGCGCTCGTGAGGTCCGCCGCTCTGTCGAGCCTCATTCGTTCCACGCCGCTCTCGCTTTCGTCCCCGTCCCCGTCCCCGCCCCCGCCCCCGCCCCCGCCGCCGCGCTCCGCCATCGCCTGCGCCCTCTCCCTCGCCTTCTGCGCCCTCGCCTCTGCCCGCGCCGCCTTCGCCGCGGCCGCCGCCACCGCCGCGGCCGCCGCCACCGCCCGCGCCGCGGCCACGACGTGCGCAGGGAGCTTGCAGCGCCCCGGGTGCCGGTTGGGGCGTGAGCAGAGGGGGTGGCGAGCGCACCGCGCCTCGCCGCCTGTGCACACCGCGTTGTCTGTGTGGTACTTGAGAGCGAGGGCGCTGCCCAGCTTCTTGCGGCACTTGGGGCAGTCGAAGCCAGCAAGCTTTTGCTCGGTGCAGTGTCCCGGGTGACGGTTGGGGCGCGTGCAGCTGGGGCTGCGCGTGCACTGCACGTGCGAGGCACTCGGGCCGCTGCTGCTGCCGCCGCCGCCACCCGAGCGGTCGATGTGGAACTTGTCGAGCGCCGTGCGGATGTTGCCACTAAGATCGCCGCTGCCTGGGCTCCGCTTCACCTCCTCCGCCGAGTCGGAACGCCCTTCCAAAGCTTCCGCCGGCTCCCCGACCGCTCGCGCGAACGCGACCGCCGCCTCAACCGCCGTGCCAAAGTTGCCGAGGTGGGTTGGCCTGCCGTCCACGTAGTGCTGCGCTTGGAAGCGGCCAAAGGGTGTCTCGTTCACACCCGCGTAGCCTGTCCTGCTGCGGCTGGAGAGGTGCAACCGCATTCTCTCCGCCTCTGTTGCCACCGCCGGAGGACACGGAGGCTCGTGGTACTCGCCGACGGCCCGCGCATAGGCCACCGCCGCCTCCACTGCGGTGTCGAAGTAGCCAAGCCAGACTTGCCGCCCGTGAACCGTTCGCCACGCTCGGAAACGGCCAGCACCGATGTAGCCGCTCGGAACCTTGTACACACACTTGTAGCCAGTGGGATTGTTGCTAGAAAGGTGCAATTGCAAGCCCTCCGCCTCTGCCTCCACCTCATCGTCGTCATTCGAAGAGGATGGCAGCGCGTTGCTGCCACGCCACCCTCCTTCGCCTCGCTTCGCCTTTGCCTCCCGCCCCGTGTCTGCGGGGCCTCGTACTCGCTTCCCCCTGACGACAATGCCTCCCGCTGGCGCCGGCGCTGCCTCTCCGACAGCCCGCGCGTAGGCCAACGCCGCCTCAACCGCCGTGCCAAAGTTGCCGAGGTGGGTTGGCCTGCCGTCCACGTAGTGCTTCGCTTGGAAGCGGCCAAAGGGTGTCTCGTGCACACCCGCATAGCCTGTCCTGCTGCGGCTGGAGAGGCTCAAGCGCAAGCCCTCCACCTCTGTCGCCACCACCTCTGTCGCCACCGAGGCAGAGCCAGCGTCGTCCACGGCGGCGTCCGACATTGTGTGGGACGTACGCGCACTGATCGTTGTGTGCAGTTCGGCCCGATTGGCATTGGTTTTGGCCAAATATGAGATATGAGCTTATCAAGGAGCAACCCGACTAGCGGTAAAACGCCAAAATCGGATCAGCCGCCAGGTTTTGAGCACTTGAGCAAATATTTGGCCCTTGGGGCTTGGCGCTTTGGCGCCACCTCCCAAACCCACCAGCGCATGTGGCCATTGCTGCATGCCGGTACGGCTTTTTAGCACTATCAAACAAAATCCAACACAGTCATGGGTCACTTGCCTGCGCGTATCTAAAGTGTAAAGAGGGGACTCACGGCAGAATCTGCGACCTGGTCAACGACGATCCCAGTGCTAGTGCTGCCGCGAGCGCCGATGTGTCGCGATGTGAGAAGAGAGCCACGCGGCGGGCGGCGTCTCTCTCCGCGGTTCGTGGACCCGGCGCGTTACTTTGGCGCGGGCCGGATGAACTTGGCGGCCACGCCGTCCTCCTCGTCGCCGTCCTCGTAGACCAGGTCGTACGTGCCGTCCTCGTTGACGGCGTCGATGCGCGCGGGGAACCACTTTGCCTGCCTGCCGTGCATCGCGCGGCCCGGTGCGGACGCGACGCGGTCTCCTTCCGCATACGTGGCGGCGGCGCTTGCGGCGGGGGAGGCGGACGAGGCGGGCGAGGCGGGCTGGGACGCCCTGCCCTGCCGGCGCCGCTTGCTGAGCGGCGCGTCCTCCTCGTCCTCCTCGTCGCCCCCGGCGGGCGGCGGGGCGGCCTCCGCCTCGACCTCCTCCGCCCGCCTCGCGCGGCCTCGCTTCTGCTTGGCCGGCTGCTTCGCCGCGGGCCTCGGCCGCCGCTCCGCCTCCGGGCGGTACTCCTCGAACTCGTCGCCGTCGTTGATGAAGTCCTACTCGCAGGCGGGGTAACCCTCTCATCGCGCCCCCAGCCGCCGCTCCCCCCTTCTCTGTCTCCGCTCGCCTCCTTTGGCACGACGACGCGCCCCCTCGCCGGGGGCGGGCCGATGCCGGCCGGGGGCTCCACGGCGGGCGAAGCCTCCCCCGCCTCCCGGGCCGCGGCCCGCTCCTCCGCCTCCGCCTCCGCCTCCGCCTCCTCCATCTCCCGAATCGACTGCGCGCTCGGCGCGTCGCCAAAGTGCTCGCGCAGCAAGAGCTCCTGCAAGAGGCGGCGGCGTGGGTGGGGCGAGGGGACTGCGTCCGGCGCGAATCCTCGCCGGTGGCATCAGGGGAGGCGGCGGCGTGGGAGGCGGCGGCGTGGGAGGCGGCGGCGTGGGAGGCGGGGAGGGACGAGGGTCGTGCATGTGCCGCCGCAGCAGGGCGCCTGGTACAGGCGCAGCTTGCCGAGGGCGTGGTTGTAAACCCACCCGTTTCCCGCGTCGCGGCCGAAGCGCGCCTGCGACGGCTCGGCCGGTGCGGCCAACAGTCAGCGGCGGTGAGAAGCTGAAGCGGCCGAGTGAAAGCCAGGCGCGAGGGGGTGAGGGAGGGGGGGGGGGGGGGTCGAGGGATCCGGCAGAAGCTCGACACCTCCAGCTTCTGCCCCTCGCGCTTCAGCCTCTCCGTGTCCGACCCGAGCGTCAGTATCCGCGGCAGCGGCGCGGCCGCCCCCTCGGCCGTCTCCTCGCCCGCCAGAAGCACCCCCACGCCGGCGGGCCAGTGCTTGTAGTCGAGCCCGAAGCCGCAGGCGGCGCGCTCGATGGCGAACATGCTCTGGTCGCGTGCCGAGTCGGTGGAGCCCATCGGCGGCAGCGCGCCCTGGATCTTCCCGAGCCACGACGGCCAGCGCAGCCCGCGCGAGGCGGCGGCCTCCTTGAGCAGCGTTCGCTTCTCGGTGTACATGTTGGTGCCCTTGGCCTTGTGCGCCTTCCAGCCGCCGGCCGTGCCGCCCGCGGCCACGTCCTCGCGCGCGAGATCGATCGCCGCCGCCTCCTCTGCGCTCAGCGCCGCCGCCGACGTCGGCTCGAGGCTGTCCAGCCGCTGCATCTGCTCGGCCGTCAGCCGGCGCACATCCGACGCCCTCTTCAGCCCGGGCTGTGTGGCGGCCCGGCGATCGAGCTCGTCCAGGTCTGGCCCGCCGTCGAAGAGCTCGGGGAGGACATCGCCGTTCAGCCGACCGGACGCACGCCTCGGCCCCTGCGGCGCCGGCTTGCGCTCGGCGCGGGGCTGCTTCGGCTTGCGAGGCGGCCGGGCCGCCGCCGCCGCCTGGAGGACCCCGAGCTCGACGAGCACGCGCTCGTTGCTCTCGATGTTGGCCAGCCGCTCCTTCTCGTAGGCGCTGAGAGTGTCGGGCATGATGGCCGAAAGTGTGGGCGGGAAGAAAATAGGATTCCTACTCGGCATTTTTTCATTGCGCAACGGAGGCTAAGGGCTCTGCCCGCAAGGCGCCCGCGTCGCAGACGCGGTACCATTGTCAAATCTGCCATATACCCCCACACGAACAAATAGCAAAATCCGAATACCGCAGGTGAGAGTACTTCTTGCTTGGGCGGCACAGCCATGACGGCTTGACGGGGTAGGTAGGTAGGGTAGGTCTGGGCCCTCCCGTCGGGTTTTTCCCACTCTTCCCGCTGGAATTTTCACGGCAGAAAAAGAAATTTTGCGCGGAAATCACGATGTCAATATGGGTGATCTGGTTGGTGCTTGTAGGGCTTGAGAGTGGCCTGCCATTGTCATAGGAAGGACTGTGGTTGCAGGAGAGTACCACCAACCATCACTTAGTTGGTATAGTACCTACCTCACCTTCACCCATCGAGTGATTAGTCCTGTTTACGATTTTTTAGTTTCCCATAAGTAGGGTAGGTAGGTAGGTAGGTAGGTAGGTAGGTAGGGGCAGGGGCCGGCTTTTTGCAGAATTTCATCATGGCTGCCGCCCAAGCAAGAAGTACACACACCTGAATACCGTGCACAAAAGCGGCGATCTCGACGGGCGGGGGCAAGCCTTCAGCTGGTGCCAAGACGTCCGTAAAATTGAAACCAGAACGTCCGCCAAATCCGTGCTCTTTCGGCGCAACTTGAGGGGAAGATAGGGGAAGCGCTGATCGAGCCCTGAGCCCTGGCCTCGACACCTCGACACCAAACCTCGACACCGACTCGACACCTCGACACCCCATGCCAACTCGACCAACTCGACACCCCTCGACACCCCTCGACACCCCTCGACACCGCTCGACACCGCTCGAACCACTCGACACCGCTCATATCCAGCCGGCGGCCTGCCAGCGGCTCTCTTCTTGCTTAATCTGACTGCAAAACTTTATAACCCCCCCCTACCCCCCCCCCCCCCTCGCCGCCGGGCCAGCCGCCGTCGAGCCCGCCGAAGCGGCGCTGGCGGCGACGGCGGCGGCGTCGGCAGGGGAGGCGCCGTGGGAGGGTCCCCGCTGATGGCAGCTTTGCTGCCATGCTGCATGCAGATCGCTGCGAACAACAGGCTGGATGCGGGATGCCTAGGCCCCCACCAGGCCCCCACCAGGCCTGCGCGTTCCAACCGGTCCTCTCTCGGACGCAAGCCTCATGTGTTCTACTGTGGAGCTGTGCTGTGGGGAGAGCTAGGGGAGAGGCGAGGATGGTTTCATTGGTTACAGCAGTTCTGCTATTGAGTATAGCCCCGCGCTAGCCACACGGACGCTCGACACCGCTCGACACCTTGCGCCACCACGCAACTCGACACCCGCTCGACACGCTCGACACGCTCGACACCCCTCGACACCCCTCGACACGGACAAGCATGGTTTCAGCCTCGACGACACCTCTATCCCTCGACAGCAGCTCGACACCCTCGTGCCTCGACACCGGGCCTCGACACCCTCGACACCAGGGCTCAGATCGAGCCCAGCGTGCCCGCGGCCGCCTCCCGCGCAGCACCGCCGCTGGGGACGACACGCTGCGGAATCGGATCGAGCCCATGGAGGAGGAGGGCGCAGTCGGCGAATTGGAGGAGGAGGAGGGCGTCGAACGAAGCCGCCTCGTGTGGGCCCGATGGGCGCGCGCCTTGCTTCACGTTGTCGTGTCTGACTCAGAGGAGGAGTTGAAGGTGCCCATGGGTGCTCCGGCAACCTAACCTGATTCAGAAGCTCGCCGACGTTGTCACTCGACGTGCGTCATGCGTGATCGAGCTTGAGGGAGGAGCTCAGCTAACGATTCGGCCGGCCACCCAACGCCGCCGCCCACCGCCACCCACAAAGCGCCTCGGGGGTTCACCATATATGCCGAGCCTGCTCGGCCTGCCATGTGCGCGCGCGCCTCGCCCGAGCGCAGCCACCTGCGGACCTGGCCAGCCTGTTCCTGGCTCGTGCCCAGCCTCTCCTTCCGCTGCCGCCGGCCTCGCAGTCCCGCCAGCCATCACGCTGCAGAGCCTGCGTAGACGCCACAGACGCCAATTCTGCAGCCCACAGCCCTGGCAACTGAGGGCGAGGGCCAGCAGTGTAAGACGACGACGGCATCTCACACCCCGCGCTGGCCAGCGCCATCAGCCCCTCACGGCCCGGCCCAACCTTCCCTTCCCCACCCTCGCCTCCAGTGCCTCCAAATCAAGCCGTCGCACCTCTCTTCTTCAGCGAATGCAGCGGCAGCACCACGTCAGAGGCCGGGCCGACTGGCGGACCTGCATGCCCAGCCATGCCCCCCACTCCCCACCCGCTTGGATCGATCAGCTGACAGCTCCACCAGCTCCCACCACCGCGTGTCGTGTCATGAAGCATGATAGATAGACATAGAAAGCATGAACCATCGAAAGGTCTGGTCTCCAAAAAGAGCTCTCGGCGCGCGCCACGCGCGCCCCGCCCCTTTTGCGCAGCAACACCTTAATAAATAAATAAAAACGGACACCTCTCTACTGTGAGATGGGTAAAAAGGAACAGGCCCCCGCCCTTGCGATCTTTGTGCAGGGTTCTTTGTGGGTGTGGTCGGCGACTAGCCGGGGTCGTCCTCCCGGTGGGGGACTAGCACTAGCCGTCTTCCACATGGTCCCTCGGGACCCTGCTGCTCCTAATCTCTTCGTACATCCTCCTGCTGATCTCCGCAAAGTCCTGCTCCCTCCCTCGTCTCGCCCTGCGCGTCTGCTCCGCCTCACCGTCTTCTGCCCTGCGTCGTCTGGCGACGGCCTCCATAGTCGGTCGAGGTCGCCGCCCTCCTCGTGCCTCTTCCCAACGTTCCCTCGGCGGCCGATGCCGTCTGCTCCGGCTCCCCAGTCCCCGGGTCTCCCATGCAGCAACACCTTAAACTTTTAGGCCCTCCAAATTCGGGTCGGAGCGTAGCGGAGTGGGCCCCGAGTTTGAAAAAGGCGACGGACGCTTGCGTCCTAGCCTCCAACAACGCCTCCCCGGCGCAGAGGGGCCCCCGGAGGCATGCTCAACCGCCCCACGCCAAACCGCTGCCCTGTTTATGACCGCGCAAGATATAAAGGGTGGCTAAGGGCTCAGCTGGTGCCAATCCCGTAAAATTGAAGCCAAGAACGTCCGCCAAATCCGTGCTTTCGTGCTTTGGGAGCAACTGTTAGAAAGCCGCTGATCGAGCCCAGCGTGCCCGCGGCCGCCTCCCGCGCAGCACCGCCGCTGGGGACGACACGCTGCGGAATCGGATCGAGCCCATGCACGGGCAAAGAAGGACGCTGCAGAAGCGGTTGGAGAGGCAGCCGGCGTCTGCCGTCACAACGAGTCCCAGCGCTGGTTGGACATGCGCGTCGGCTCGCCCGAGGACTGCTGTCGCGACCCTCCCGTCGTGACGCAGCCTCCGACGAGCTCTGCAACCGAGGAGAGTGAGGGTGCGCCTCCCCTCACTGCTGGCCTGGCTGCGCACCGCCCCACAAAGCACCCCCTCGAGCATCTCTACAAGTACAAGTACAAGGGCGACCTTCTCCAAGTCGTCAACGCCCCCGGCGGCTCCGGCAAGACTTTAGCCTTGGCCACCCTCCTTGCGGAGCAGGAGGAGATCCGCTCTCGGTCGGCAACGTGGCAGCTAGTCGAGAGACTCGGTAGTTGTGACCCCCCTCTGTGCTCTGAGTGAGGACAGGAGAGAGAGAGCTTTTGTGGTGTTGGTGTACGCAATAACGGGACAGGGTAGTCGTTCTCTCTAGCTCCCCTTCTAGCTCTTAGCATGAGCTGCGCCCTGTGTCCGACCCCTTTTGCGCAGCAACACCTAAACTTTTAGGCCCTCCAAATTCGGGTCGGAGCGTAGGCCGTAGCGGAGTGGGCCCCAAGTTTGAAAAGGGCGACGGACGCTTGCGTCCTAGCCTCCAACAACGCCTCCCCGGCGCAGAGGGGCCCCCGGAGGGATGCTCAACCGCTCCACGCCACGCCGCTTGCGGCGTGTCCTATTCCCAGCTCCACTGAGGGCGGCGAGTTATTTCTTTTTTCTCAGAGGCCCGACGCCTCCTCTCTACCTCCTCCGCTCCGCCCGCGATGTCCGCCTCCTCCGCTCCGCCCGCCTCCTCCGGATCGCACTGGGCCGCAGCCGGTGCGCCGGTCGTGACATCGCCGCCGCCGGATGGCTCGCTTGCGGGCGGTGCTCTAAAGGGCCCGCCGTGCTCCGCCTTCGCTTGGGACTGGGAGCTGCGAACGGCGGTTGTGCCGAGCGGAGACGCGCCGCTGCCCGTCGCTCCCGCCGACGAGGAGGCAAAGGTCACCCACCGGGGCGGCTGCCACTGCGGTGCTGTGCGTTTCGAAGTGGTGGCGCCAGCGACTCTGGTGTGCTACGACTGCAACTGCTCCGATTGTCGGATGCGGCGGAACCTGCACTTTGTGGTGCGCAAGCCCGACCTCCGGTTCGTGCAGGACACGGCCGGTGGCGCTGCGGGCGCGGCCGCCCTCTCCGAGTACCGCTGGGGCACCGGCGCGGCGCGGCATCTATTCTGCTCGCGCTGCGGCGTGACGCCTCTTTACGTGCCGCGCTCGAACCCGAACGGATGGGCCGTCACCTTTCAGTGCCTCGATCCTGGCACCTGCAGCGCCGTCGAAGTGCGTCAGTTCGACGGGGTGCACTGGGAGGAGCACATCGCCGGAGAGGGCGCGAGCATCCGCAGCTTTTCAAGCTGATGGGCGACACACCACGCACTCGGCACTCATTTTGAAACGCCCAACAAAGCGGTTCCGCCTCCGGTTCTTATTCTCACAAACACACTGAGACGTTGCCATTGGGCGCAGCCGCACGCAGCGTCTCTTAAACCGAACCCGGTGGTCGTCCCCCGCCACGTGGATAGATAGGAGTGTGGGGGGAAGGGAATGTTGAGTATAAGAGGTGGTTGGAGGTGGAAGCATTGAAAGAAAAAGACGCCTGCTTTGATCGAGAAGGAGCTCTCTGCGGGTAGCAGTGCGCGAAAGCAGGATCGCTGGGCGACTCGCCATGGTCCCACAGAACGACAGGAACCACCCGTTCATGGCGTCGTGCTCGACGCCGCAGCCATACGCCGGGCCCTTCATGTACCCGACGGCCGGAACGCCTGGCGCCGGCTGCGCCGGCTGCTCCGCTGCAGGCGCACGCTCGCCGCCACGAGATGTTCCTGCCCCGGCCCGCCCTGCCACAGCCCCTCCGCGCCGCGCCTCCCGCTCATCTCCGACCCCCCCTATCCCGCTCATCTCCGACCCCCCCGCCCTCCGTAGGCTATGCCAGCCAGCCGCAGCCCGTCTACCCCATGATGGGGGGCATGCCTTATCCTGGCCGGCACGTCGGAAGCTACGCTCAGATGCCCTACGCGTCCTGCTCTACAGCGATGCCGATGCAGTCGTCGGCCGCGACGCCGATGCCGACTGCCGCGATGCCCCTCTACACCGAGGCCGTGCCGCTGCGCGGCGCCGGCGCCAGCGGCTCCGCCGGCATGAGTGCGGGCATGCCTGTCGGCCAGTACGCTGTCCAGATGCAGCACCAGATGCCGTACGCAATGGACGCCTCGCAAATGGGCTACGCCGGCATGGCGTCGATGCCGCCGGGGCTGGCTGCGTACCCCGCCCAGCCGATGATGCCCGGGTACGCGATGCCAGCGGGGTACAGCTCGATGCTGCACAGCGGTGCGCGCGCCCGCAGAGCCACATTTCACGCGCGTCTCGAGCCCGCCGCGGCGCGCGCCGACGCGCCGGCGTCGGGCCGAAGTCCCCGTCCCCTTCTCCGCCCCTCCCGCGCCGCCCCAGCCCCCTCCCGCTCGCTGCCCTCTCCTCCCGCTCCCCCGCCACCCGCCCAACCGCTCCCCTCTGCCCCACCCCCCCACCCCACCGGCCGTGCCGGCCGCACCTCCTGACTGGCTCCGCCGCCACCCCCTTCCCGCAGCCGCCGGCTACGGACAGCTCGCTTCTCAACGCCTGCTGCCCGCGCAGCCGATGCCGCGGCCTCGCCACCCACCCGAGGCGGCGTGGCCTGCCGCCTGCCCGCCTCTCTCGGCGGCCGGCAAGGAGAAGCCGATCGCCACGCCGCGCAAAGACCGCTCGCTGGCGACGCTCGCGCAGGAGCTGGTGCGGATGTACGGCCACGTGGGCGGCGAGATCGACATCGACGAGGCGCAGTCCGTCTTCTCCTCAAAGTGGAAGAAGCGGCGGCTGTACGACGTGATCTGCGTCTGCCAGTGCCTGCGCGTCGTCGAGCGGTGCGGGCGGGCGCGCTTCATCTGGCGCGGCGCGGGGGCGAAGCAGGTGCAGCGCGCGGTCACCGACGTGCTGCTGCGGCACAAGGCCGGCTGCCACCACCCGCTGCTGCAGCGCGAGCGCCGGCTCGGCCAGCCTCCCGCCCTCGCCACCAACCCGGACGAGCCTCCGGTCCCCGTCACGGGGCTCGCCTACCTCTGCCAGCAGTTCATGCTGCTGATGCGCGAGCGCGAGCGGACGGGCGACCCGGCGCCCATCCGCTTCGACGACGCGACCCAGCTGCTCTGCGAGCGCGTCGGCTCGACCGACTCCAAGACGGTCCTCCGCCGCATCTACGACGTGGTCAACGTGCTGCAGGCCCTCGGCCTGGCCCGCCGGCCGGAGATCGCGCGGCGCGGCATCCAGTGGACGGGGCCGTCGCTCGACGTGCCGGAGCCCAAGTACACGCCAGACACCGTCCTCCCGCCCTGGCCGGGCGTCGCCATCTCGCGCCGCAACAAGGGCGACGGGCCGACGCGCTCCAAGCCGCCGGCGGGCGAGGCGCTCACGTGCGGCCGCCTGCTGCTCTCGTGCCACGAGATCGAGCTGAACGCGGGCTGGCAGCCGCCGCTCGTCTTCACCGCGATCTGGTCGCTGCAGCGCGCCATCGTGCGCCTCGAGGACGCCGTCACGCACTCTTTCGAGGTGCAGCCCAAGATGGAGGAGGTTCGCGTGCGAATCGAGGTGCTGCGCGGCACGCTCGTCATCGGGAGCGAGGCGGACGAGAGCGCCGTCAAGAAGCAGATGGCGGCGCTGGAGGGGAAGCTGAGCGACGCGCGCGGCGTCGACTCGCTGCAAGACGTGCTCGGCGAGCTGAGCAGGCTGCTGAAGGCCAACATGCCTTCCAACACCTCGAGCAAGCGCTCCGCACGCTTCACGGCAAACGCGCAGGGCGGCGAGATGGGGCTCTCGCCCGACCACGCCCTGCCGATGTTGACGCGCAAGTTCGGCGCGTACAAAGTCGTCAAGGCGGTGAAGCGGCTCGCGACGCTGCCGGGCACCCGCTCGCTCGCCGAGGCTGATGAGCTCGTCGCCGAGCTCGACGCGGAGGAGGAGGAGGAGGCGGAGGGCCACGACAGCGGCGCCGCCCGCCCGACAAAGATTGCGCGGCTCGACTCGCACGACGACGCCGCCGCCGCCGCCGCTGCCGATGACTCGACCACGTGCAGCGGCGCGCTCTCGCTCCTGGGCTTCGCCGCCTTGTCGGCCTCGTCGGCTTCGAGCGCGCCGCGCCACCCGATGGCGGCTCCCGGCGCGGCTCCGGCAGCATCAGGGGACTCCGCGCCGAGGGCCACGTCTGTCCACCGCCAAGGCAGCGCTTTGCACAACCTGCTCGCGCTTGGGTCGACGCAGGCACCCGTGGCGATGGATCTGACCGTGGAGGAGCCGCCGCCGCCGCCGCCGGCGGCGGCGGAGGCGGCGGCAGCATCCGCTCGGATGCGAATGGCGCCGGAGGCGATTCTGCCGCCTACTGCGCCTGTGGAGCTGGTACAGCCGATGGCGCCGCAGCCGATGGCGTTGGAGCCGATGGCGATGGAGCCAGTGGCGTCGGCGGCGCCAGAGCCGGCGGCGCCAGAGCCGGCGGCGGAGCCGGTGGCGCCCGAGCTCGTGGCACCGGAGCCGTCAGCCGCGCCGGCGGAGGACCGGGCTGCGGCGGCCCACTCCGCTGCTGCTGCCACGGCCGCTCCTGGCGGCGAGGCGGACAGCGGCGAGCCGGCGGGCGGTGGCGCGACGGAGGAGGGCGAGGAGGCGGCTCGAGGCGGCGACGCGATCCCCCCGCAGCGGAACCCTGAGCCGGTCTCCCACTGGCCGGCGTGGACGAGCCCTTCCCATCGCGTCGTGGACGTCACAGGCGAGGCACCCACGCTGGCCGCAGCGAAGCTGCCGCCGGTGGTAGTGCCGGCGGACCCCACGCCCGGCGCGGCGCAGCTGCGGGAGGAGGGAGAGGCGCCTCCGGCGGTGGGGCTGGCGCCGGTCGTGCCATCTCCGCACAAGAGCGTCGTCAAGATCGAAGCGGCGCGGCTGACGCCGCAGTCGTCGCCGCTGCTGTCCGCCGAGCCCATGCCGCCGCCGCCACCGCCCACGCCCGCGCCCGCGGCGCCTTTGCGACCACTGCCGACCTCCTCTTTCTCGGCGGTGACGGCCGCCGCGCCCGCCGCGCCATCCGCGCCCGCCGCGCCGCCCGCTGCGGTCTCGGTACAGCCTTCGCTTGCGGAGGGTGCTGCTGGTGCCGCTGAGGCGCCCTCAACGTTCCCAAAGTCGGTCAAGATGTCGGACTTGCTCGCCGTCTTCACCGAGAAGTTCGAGGCGGCGAATCGCACGTCCGAGGCGGAGCGGATGAAGCAGGTGCACCAAAACTACCGGAGCGGTTCCATCACGTACCGCGACGCGATGGCGGAGCTGACTCAGCTGGTCGGTCGGCCGGCGGTGGTGCAGGCGGCGAAGGCGATGATCTCGCAGGCGCAGCACGCGTGCACTTCTGCCGTTCCCGGAGGGGCAGGCATGCACTACCCGCACATGCAGGTGGCGTCGCAGCAGCAGATGTACTACCCGTCGCAGCAGCAGCAGCAGCAGATGTATTATCAGCAGCAGATGTACTACCAGCAGCAGATGTACTACCAGCAGCAGCAGCAGCAGCACCTGGCAGCCCTGCAGCAGCAACAACAGCAGCAACAACAGCAGCAACAACAGCAGCAACAACAGCAACTCCAGCAGCAGCAGCAGCAGCAACGACAGCGACAGCAGCCGCCACAACAGCTGCAACCGCCGCCGATGCCGCAGCTGGTGTCACCCCTACATGCGCCGTCGTCGCAGCTGCCCAAGGAGCAGCCGCCACACCTGCAACTGCCACAATTGTCGCCGCAGCTTCAGCCGCAGCAGGCACAAGAGACGCCTCCCTCGTTCCCCTCCTGAACGATTCGAGCGCGCGTCCGCGGTGTCTGAGACTGACACTGAGTGTTGTGGGCTCAGCAGTTGTAGAGATTCTTCTTTTCCATGGATAAAATTAAAAAACGTAAAGCCACATGTCCACATTCGACCACAGTGATCAATGACAATGGGTCTGGAAGTCTCTGCCCCCTCTCGCTCCGGCGCCGCGGGCCGCGCGGGCCACACAATGTGTAATAAAATATAAAGGTGGTACGACGTATCTCTAAAGGGCGGGGACCTGTTCCTTTTTACCCATCTCACAGTAGAGAGGTGTCCGTTTTTATTTATTTATTTATTCTCTACTAAAGACTGCCTTGGTCAAAAGCCTGGGAGGAGTCCCTGCTCCAAGACGTACTTGAGGTCCCACTGCGACAGCGCGTCGACGTCATCCACATCCGGGTGATACCACGTCCAGAAGAAGGCCGCAGCACTGCGGTCTCCACGGAAGATTCCCGCCACCTGACGGCGGCCAAAGCCAGAGTACATCGCCGCCCGTCCCTCGCGGCTCAACTCGTCAAAGTCCCGTCCGCCGCGCCCGTACCAGTCGCCAACGCAGTTGGAGAACTCGCCCACGAGCGTTGGCCGGAAGGTGAGGGAGATGGCGGCGGTGTACAGCTCGACCAGCGGGCCCGTGGAGAACCAAAGCGGCATCCAAGCGGCATAGTGGAAGCATGTGTATACGTGGAAATCGTAGAGGACGTTGGGGAAGCGCCTCGCGGGCAGGTTCCAGTCGAAGCTCCCCCAGGCATGCGTGAAGATGCTCTGCGCTCGGTAGAGGTTGATGACGACGGCCACGTCGGCGCCCATGTGCCGCCGCACCGCCTTCGCCCCGCGCTGGTAGAAGTCGAGCGCTCGGGCGGCGTCGAGTAGCGGCTCGTTCAGCAGCTCGACGGCGATGATGCACGAGCGGTTGGCAAACCTCTCGGCGACAGTCTCGATCGCCGCGAGCGAGCCCTCCGCGTCCCAGTCCTCCGGCCGCCAGTCGTGGGAGAGGCGGCCGCTCTGCTGCTCTCCGCTCTGCGAGCCCGGCGCGGCATGCAGGTCGAGCATCACGGTCAGGTTTGCCTCTTCGGCCCAGTCGAGGACGTCGTCGAGGTAGCCGAGCCCGCGGCCGCGGAGATAGGGATACGCTTGCTCCTCGCTCGCCACCGTTAACCAGTAGCCAAAGGGCACGCGAACAGACTCGACGCCTCGCGCGGCGATGTCGAGGAGGGTCTCGCGAGTGAACCACTTGTCGCGGTGCTCGAGGATGGCGGCCGTGGCGTTGTCGTTCTGGCGCGCAAGCGAGGTTTGGTAATAGTCGGGCTCTTCCGATTCGCTCGAGTTTGGGTGAAATATGAAGCCGTCACCCTGCCACTTGTAATTGAGCCAGCGCTCGCCAACCAGCCAGCCGCCAAGATTGACGCCGCGAAGCTGCGGGTGACGCTCCGCCCACCTCGCCGCCGCCGGGTCGTGCGTGGAGACCCACATGGCGAGCAGAAACAGAGCAACGCCGTAGGTGCTGAAGGCAAGCGCGGCCCGCGCCCCTTGACCGCATCGCTGCAGCAGCCGGCGGGAACGGCGGCGCTGCGGCGCCTCCTCAGCCTTCACCGCACCGCCGCGCCTCGACGACGCATCGCAAACTGCGGCGACCGTCACGGGATACCACCACGCGAGCGCTGCCTCTGTGAGTAGCGCGGCCCCCAGCAGGGCATATAGTGCGATACTGCCTCCCGCACTGTCCCATGTCCCCGCGACGACCTCTGCGGCCATACCGCACGCCACCATGAGGGCGACGAGGCTGCGTCGCCGAGCCGCCTCGCAAAAGGAGGCGGGGCGGAGGGCAAAGGCGGCTGGATCCGCAACCGCGCCGAGCAATGAGGGCGGCATGATGACCACGGACCACAGCACTGCACGCCCGAGAAAGGCGCGAGGGCTGGAGCAGCTTGGCAGCGCGGCGATGGAGAGTGCCCTCGCCGAGTCGACGGTGTGCGCTAGCCAAAGCCCGAGAGGGACCGCGGCGATGCCAGCACCCGGACGGGCGAGGAGAATACCAACCAGGATCGACACCACACCAAGGACGCTTGGCGCCACGGAGAGGAGACTCGCCCGCAGAAAAGAGCAGCGCCGGCCGTGATACGGCACAGCCTTTGCGTCGTTGGAGCGCCGCCACCTCACCGGAGAAAGGGCAAGGAGAATGGCCGGCAGGATCCACCGGCCGCTGCCCCGCGCGAGACTTAGCACTGCCGCAGCTGCGCCAGCGGCGATGGTGGCCTGCATGGTCGCGCGGACCGGCTTCGGAGAGCTGGTCGGGTAGCCGCGGCAAACGTTAGATTGGGTAGCCGCGGCAAAAGCGACGGACAGGAGCGATGCGACCACGGAGACGACCAGCATGGCAGTTAAAGCCGGCGAGGTGGCTGTTCGTCCCGCAGCCGCCTCAAATACCACGGAGAGGGACGCGATGAGGACGGCCACTGCGGCAGCACCGGAGGTAGTCGCGAGGTCCGAAAGAAGGAGCCGATGTCTGGGAGCGACAACGGCTAGATGCCCTCCGATCAGGACCGTCAGTGCAACCACCAGCGCTTCTCGACCGGGAAAGGCCGCTCCGACCCGTATTGCCATCGCAGCCCAGGAGAGAGCCAGAACGGCGGCGAGGAGGGCCACGAGGTCGGCGTGGCCACCGCCGCATCCAAGGTGAACGGCGAGCGCGACACCCAGTGGAAAGCTCACTACTGCACCGACGAGGTGTATCATAGCGCCTTCACGGGGTGAGGCTGCTGTACAGGCATCGACGACAGCGGTGTTGACCGTGAGTACAGCCGGAATGCTGTAGAGATCGATGGAGTTGACGGTCGTCGACTCGATATCGGCCATGCTACGTACAAGGGAGACGCCCTGGCTGGGGCTGCAGCTTCAGCTGTCACTTGTAGTGAGCGTCGGGCTGGTGGTTCGACACCGAGTTTGAAAGATCTGTTTCTCTACGTCTCTCTTCACAGGAAAATCCTGTGAAGAAAAGCGGAGAAAAAAACAGAAACCTTTTCTGCCTCGGCCTTAGCCGTCGGTACTCCGAAAGCGTGCTATCCAAGTAGCACGCAGCCGGGTCCCGAAGGTGTCCCATCCCAAATTCGTGCTGTCGACAGACCAGATTCGTGGTCCCTTGGTCGACTACACCCGCCTTTGGACGGTAGCCCGACACAATACATTTGTCTGTCTTTTTGGATTTTTTGGTTCGTCTGGGTAAGGGTTTTGCAAGAAACCTCCTCACCACTGCGAACACTGTCTTGCTCGTAGGAGCCGTTCGTCCTTTGTCCGAGCAAACGCGCGTCCGATCACCCCGTTGAGCACGTGTGCAGGGTATCCGAGCGCCATGAACTCCCTGAGTTTGCTCGTCACGCTGAGCGCGAACCCTTCGTCATCGCTCGCCATAGCACTCACCTTGAGCAGGCATCCAACGACTATTCCCTCTTTCATCTTCGCGCATGTGAAGCTATCCCAGCGATGGTAGCGCCACACCCGAGGCTCTCTCTCGCAGCCCTCATTGACGTTCTTGAGTCTCGTCCGGAAACCTCCGTTCGCGTCGAGCTCGAGAGCCGTCTCTAAAAAATGAGCTGGTTTTTTTGCGCTTTCGTCTTTTGAGTTTTGAAGTCTTTTTGTTTTTCCAGCAGGACAAAATCGGCAGCCTTCCTGGGCCTCACCGATTCTCGCTGCAACCTTCATGCCACCTCGCAGTCGTCCCGCGCAAGGACGGTTCTTCTGACCCCCACTCCGAGTGCCTTGAAAAAAGAAATTAAATCAACCCAAAGGAGGGGTTGAGGACGGCCTTGAAGGGAAGGATTTGAGCGCTCTGTGAAGTTATTTTTAGCGAGGTTCACCGCTTGGTACTGTCGTGGACTAAAGTCTGGGCAGGTTGTGAGGGACACGATGCCGGCGTGAACACGCCGATCTGACAAAATCCCGAGTGCCTACCGCACGCGCCGCGTCGTGGCGCGTGCGGTAGGCTTTGTTTGAAGTCAAAAGTCGAATCAGAGCGCCGTCGGCGCTGTCCCTCGTTTTCCTCCCACGGACCGCCCGTCCGGCACCGCTCCGGGACGCACGCCGGCGAAGCACCGTCAAGCTGCTGTACGGCCCCGGCATCGCCTCCCCTGGCTTAGCTAGAGTGAGAGATATTGTGCACATGGTCTGTCTCTACAATAGCCGTGATGATTTAGTGGGTTGGAAATCGGCCGATTTGCCCAGTGTGGTGCATGCACATGACATGCACATCACAACATATGCGCATGGACATGTCAGCAGAGTCCTCCTACGGGATTGTGCATGTGCATGTGCACCCTCCCCTCTCCCTTTTCTTTCTCCCATTAAGAAAACAGGATCTCGCGGCACGCCGCCGTTTCTAAGCCTTTCCAGACACCCCACCCACCCCACGCCGTAGTTTCTTAGCTTCGGCCGGCACCCCAGGCTGCGGGCCCAGGTGAGACGGGATCTAGGAATTTTTAGGTAAAATGACAATAAGGAAGCGCTGGACCGATGCGCCAGTCAGCAGTCTGCCACCCACCTGGGAAGACAGGAAGACGCACACACCTCCATCCACACCGCCCAGAACACCGCAGACTCGGGCAAAATGACAAGTGCGCGCGCCGCTTGGCCTTTCCAAGGGTTTCCGGCAACCCAGAGGGAAACCAGAGGGTCCCCAGCACTTTGCGTTTCCGGAAGTTTCCAGGGAAACCAGAGGGTGTTTGGTGCTCCATTCTGTTTCTCTCGAGTTTCCCTCGGGAAACTCGCGAGTTTCCCTGAGTCTGAGAGCTGTTCTGGGGCAAAATCTGAGGCAAAATTGAGGAAATCGGCACGATACCCAGGTATTTTCCAGGTATACCCGGGGTTTGTCAGGTATCGATCCTGTCCGCCCGAGCGTGACTCGCAACTCCACGATTTGCCGTCCACGGACAAAGCGGCTCCCCACCAAAGTTGAATCGTCTCCTCAGATACATACATACTCACTGACACTTCACCTCCCAGAGCTCGTCCTGGTCCGCCACGGCCATCCTCGGCCTCCGGGGGGGCCCCGGCCGCGGCGCGGTGCGGCGGCGTCACAAATCCGACCACAGAGCACCGGGACGCGGTCGGGCGATCTGAGGCCCAACTAGGCGTATGCATTGCCCATCCAGGGCTACCACCTGGACCTATCAACAGGCGCCTGCGGCGCCGTGCTCAGGAGCTGCTCCAACCTGTTCACACAAACCTGTTCACACTTCCGTCCGGCACAGCATGTACATGGAGTCGGCCTCGACGGAGTACAGCTTGTACACCGCTCCCACCGCCCGGCCCTTCTCTTGGCGACCACCGGCGTTGCTGCTTGTGAGTGCAGCCACTCTCCTCCTTGGATCTCACGCGTTTCCGCGCCTGGCCGCCCTAAATGCGGTGCCCGCACCATTTGTGTATGACTACTGCCAGGCCCCGCCGCCGCACATGGGCGGGGCGGACAATCTGCAGCTCGTGCGCATGGCGGTTGTGGCGCGGCACGGCGATCGCTCTCCGCTCGTGAAATATGTCGGCCGGGATAAATACAATGCGTGGGGAGACTGCGAGCGGTGCAAGAGCTCGGGCCTGTGGGACAGCGCGTGCGGCGGCGGCGGCGCGTGCTACGTTGGGCAGCTGACAGACAAGGGCCAGGATCAGCTGCGCGCCGTCGGGCGAGCCATCCGGAACGCATTTGAAGGGCACGGCACCCACGAGGCCCGCACGAGGCTTGGCAAGCGCGGCGGCGTCTCGGTCCTCGCAACCCACGTCAACCGGACGCAGGACTCAGCCCGAGCGCTGCTCGAGGGCCTGCTGGGCAGCGCCTCGCGCGCCGCTGACGTGTCCATCGAGGTACAGCAGCCGGGCGAGAAGCTGTGGCTGTACCCATCGCGGGGCTGTGACGGCCTCGCCTCGGCGGACGACGCCGCGATGCGGGCGTGGGGGGTTGCAATATCGTCCGGCTCGCCGCCGGTTGCGCACTGGGCGCTCGGCGAAAAGATGGATGGCGACGGCAGCCTGCCGGCGGCCCAGCTCCTCAACCTCAACGACCTCTACCAGACGCGCTGGTGCCACGGAGGCTTCCGCGACGGCTGGCCGTGCGAGGACACGGCGGGGCCTTCGTACGACGGCACTGCGTGCGACCACTGGGCGCTCACCCACTTCGCCACGGTCGTCGAGACGGTTCAGGACACCACCTGCGCTGCCGGCGGCGGCAGCAGCGCCGAAGACGACCGGCGCGCGCTGCGGCTGATCGCTGGCCGGCTGCTCCACGAGGTGTCGACCTTCGTGGAGCTCGGCAAGCCGCACGCGGCGGTGCGCTACTTTTCGGGCCACGACTCGACCCTGGTGCCTCTGCTCTCGGCGCTGGGCCTCTGGGGCGGCAAGGCGGCGGCGCTGTGGCCGCCGTACGCGAGCACGGTCGCGTTCGAGGTATGGGCGGACGTCGACGGCGCCGAGACGGTGCGTGTGCGCTACAACGGCCTCGAGGTGTTTCCGCCTCTCATGTACGGCGATGGCGAGAAGCAGAGAGAGACGGCGGGAGAGAAGGGAGGGGGCAGGCTGAGCCCGGCGGAGACGCGGCACGCGCTGCGCGGCTTATCGATGGGCGAACACGAGTGGTTCGATGCGTGCGGAGTGCCGCACGACAGCTGACGCGCCGCCGTCGCGGGACGATGCGTGGCGGCCCGGCGCGTCTCAGAGGGAGGTGTGATGATGATGGCACATCGTTTGACATGTTAACATGCAGATGCATTTATCTTTCCGACTCAAAGAGAGTTTCATGGAGGGGAATGTGTTTCAGTGTGAGGCTGAGGGCCGTGGCGCGTGGGTCGCGTGCGCCCCCCCCCGCCCCGCGCCCGCGGCCGCGCGGGGGCGGGGGCGCCCGCGGCCCGGGTTGCAAAAAACCTCTGCACACTGCACCCCCGAGCACCCGCTGCCGCTCGCAGAGCGTTGAGTGTGTTTTCATTGCCTTTAAAAACCGAACAGTTTTTTTGACTCAGGACGAGTTTCTGAACTCTTGACGACGCCACATGCACACGTCTGCGTACATGTATTAAATCGACTAGCGTCTAGCGACACGAGACCGTCGCCGAGAGGCTCTCGTGGCTCGACACGATCGAGGCGTTGAAGCATCCGAGCGAATAAGGCGGTTCTCCTGCGCAAGTCTCTCTACACGCGGCGTCTTGGCTGCCTCTGTGCGCCGGCCAGCGAGCCTGATCCTCTCGCCTCATCGCATGACAGGACGTGTCCCCGATGCCGCGGCACTGCCCTGTGCGAGGCCGCCGCCCCCATGCCCCCCCCCCCCCCTCTGCCTGTCACGTCTCTATGTAGACCACGATGCCCGTTAGGTTGTCGGCGCTGTCCCCAAACGCGTCGTACCCCTTATTCCGCGAGTTCTCCATGAAGTCCATCACGAGCTTGCGCCGGGCCGGCTGCGCCGCCGGCAGCGCGCTCCCGTCGAGCAAGTCCGCCATCGCCTCCTCGAACGTCCACAGATCCCACACGCCGTCGCTCGCGACGCAGAGCACCGCCCTCCCGCCCGGGCCGAGCTCCTCCGCCAAGTCGCGCGTCACCACCTGATAAAAAAGAAATACGGCCGTCAAAAAGAAATGCGGGCCGAGCCGCCAAGTCGCGCGTCACCACCTCCGGCCGCCAGGTGACGCCGTACTGGCCGTGGTAAAAGTCGCCGAGCGAGCGAGTCACGTTGAGCATCATCTGCGAGAAGCGTCCCTCCTCGGGCGTCATCAGCACCGCGCTGCGGTCGCCTCGCTCCGTCTTGAAGCCGCAGCCCATCTCGTCCGCGCGGCGCAGCGCCTCCTCCGAGAGGCGCCACGCGCCTGCCGGCAGCACGAGAGCGTCAACCGCGCGCGCTGGGACGGAGCGGCAAGAGGGGGGGGGGGGGGGGAGGAGGAGGCGCCGGTCGCGTCGCGGTCGAAGACGCGCAAGAGCTGGTCCTCGCCTTCGAACATGTCAGGGTGGTCGTAGACCACCTGGGGGGGAGCGAAGGGGGGCGGCGGCGGCAGGGTCGGTGCGGGGTTGGGGTGCGGGGTTGGGGTGCGAGGCGGGGGTGAGGGCCCGGCAAGGCGAGGGCCCTCTAGCGAGGTCTCGAGGTCTCGCCTCGATGCCGGTGCTGTGCAGCCGCGCGACCCACTCGTCCAGCCGCACGGGCGCGTGCTCCGCCACGAGCTCCTCGACCTTTGCCTCGCCGTTGCCGGGTTGCGCGAGGATGCCTGCAGAGTCGCCGACCGCAGCATAGACGAGCGTTCTGCCGTCGACGATCGCGGCGACCGACGCGGTGGAGCCGCCGTCGACGGCGTCGTACCCCAGGGGCCAGTCCTCCTCCTCCACCTATCGAGGCACTTCCGAGACGGCTCCGCGCGAGTGCTGCCCCCCCGCCCGCCTCTCTCTTCCCCCTCCCTTGCCCCACCTCCATGACGAGCATCTTCCCATATCTCCCCATATCTCCCCATATCTCCCCACCTCCATGACGAGCATCCCGTCGCGCTCAAACACGTCCGGCATCGCCTTGATCGCCTCCCAGATGGCGGCGTGCGCCGCCTCGAACACCTCGCTCATCACCGCCTCGGGCTCGGAGCGCAGCCGCCAAAAGTGCGCCCGCAAGTGCTCCTGCATCGCGGCGGACGCCGCCATCGACGCGACCCGCCCGTGCTCGCCTCCGTGCCCGTCCAGCACGCCGTACGCCCAGTTGGCTTCGTCGACGCGCAGCACAAAGTACGCATCCTGGTTCTCCTTGGGCCCGTGTCCGCTGCCGCCGCGGTGAGTGTACTCGTAGTGGTCGAGCCTCAGACGCACCTGCGCCGCCGCCGCCTCGGCCGCCGCCGCCGCCTCGGCCGCCGCCGCCGCCTCGGCCGCCGCCGCCGCCTCTGCTGCCGCCCTCTCCTTGCGCTCTGCCTCTGCTGCCGCCTCTGCCTCTGCTGCCGCTAGTGCCTCCGCCTCCGCCCTCGCCCTCGCCTCCGCCCTCGCCTCCGCTCTCGCCTCCTCCGCTGCCCTTGCCTCCGCCTCCGCCGCCGCCGCCGCCGCCTCTGCCGCCTCCCGAGCCTTGCGCTCGGCCCTGGCAGCTTCGACCCGCTGCCGCGCCGCCGCCGCCTGCTGCTCTCTTCGCGCCGCCTCGGCCTCCTCCTCCCGCCTCCGCGCCTCCTCGCGCGCACGCGCCGCCCGCTCGAGCCGATCTCGCTCCTCTTGCTGCTCGCGCTCCCTCTTCTCCGCCTCCGCCCGCTCCGCAGCTACTCTCTCCGCCTCCGCCCGCTCCGCAGCCACCCTCTCTGCCTCCGCCCGCTCCGCAGCTGCCCGCTCCGCTGCCGCCCGCTCCACCGCTGCCCGCTCCGCTGCCGCCCGCTCCACCGCTGCCCGCTCCACCTTGGCGGCGGCGGCGGCAGCAGCAACAGCGCCACCGTTTTGGTCGTACGTAGCAACAGCGTCTGCGGTGAGGGGAAGTGGCGCGCCGCGGGGGATCGGCGCGGCCAGCGGCGTACCGTCGCCGTCCGCTGGATCCCAGCGCAGCTGCAGCTGGATTCGACCCGGCAGGAGCTCGTGCCACGCCGCGTCGGTCGAGAGCTTTGCGAGCGCCAGCTCGGCGAGCCGCAGCGTCACCTTGCCGTAGAAGGCGTCCGAGTCGCCGCCGGCGGCGGCGCAGTTCCACACATCGACGACGATGCGCGAGTCGTCGCGCACCTCGTCCAGCTCAAACTCCTCGTTCCACACTGGCCGCATGGGGTCCTCACCTGCCCCGCGCCCTCGCGCCTGCGAGCGCCGCCGCCGCCAGCGCGTCTTCTCGAGGACGCAGACGGCACAGTAGGTGCTGTTGACGGGCGCGTCGACGAACGCCTCCTCGAAGTGCGCCTCGATGACGCGCAGGGTGACGGTCCCACGCGTGGCTGCCATGCCTGCTTTTGTGGAGCGGCGGCGCGCCTCAAGGGAGCCCACTTGGATGGACCCCCCTACGCCTCGTGTTTGGCGAGCCCCACCCCTCCCGGGCCCTGCCGCCTGACACCTCTATCGGCGGAGGGCTTCGGTCACGGTCCACACTCCCGCCCTCCCGACCCCTCGACACACAGCGGCACCCCTACCCCGGCGGTTTTAGGGCCTCCACCAGAAGAAACACCCGGGGTGGGCCCCGCCGCCGTCAACCTGTCCGCCGACGAACAGGTAACGGCTCCCCGACAGGGTGCTGAAGGTGAAGGCGGCAAGGAAGGCGCCGCCCTGCCACGGAGGAGGTACGGTACTTTGCCTCCACGTCGAAAGAAAAGAGCCACGACGGGAGGGATGGGAGGACGGCACGCCGCCACCACACAGGGATTTTAAGGAGAGGGGTGTGGTGCTAGCCGCCGCCCACCGTTCTTGTGAATCGTGTGCGGTGCGCGGAAATTCTCGCTGGTGAACCGCAAATTCTTTTCTTCGCGATGTCCACCCCATCACGCCGCTCGCGCCTGCTCGCAGGCGGACATTGCAATCTCGGTCGAGATTAACAACCCGTCGAGCTTTGACATCATGGATCTGGGAAAGGTCTTCATCAACGTGCACACCGAGCTCAAGAAGAATGTATCGAGTTGCACTCAAACTGCGGCCTACGTGCCCCTTAATGGGGTGGCGTCACCCTGTGACGAGCGAGAGACGCTGGGGCCGCACTTTGTGCAGGTGACAACACCGCCCGACTTTGCGATCCTGCAGGGGCAAAATCCCAAGGTGCTCGTCCATGGTCACCTCGATGCGCCGAATCGCGAGCGCGAGTCTCTTGGTGCTTCAGTTGTGTTTGACACGTTCGTCGCGAACAAGTCGAGCCCGCTCATCGCCCTGATTCTCAATTCCTCGCAGCCGTTCTATACGGAAGCTTCCAGCGGCATCCTTGTTCGTTGCACGCTACCCGGCATCAGCTACCCCAAGATGATGAGGAGAACGTTTTCGCAACTAACGATGGGGGCCACCGGGAGAGGCGTTACCCCCTTCCAAACGAGGACGCTTAATAAATACCCGCCGCCGCCACCACCGATCGATCTGATATCAAAGATAGCGCGTGGGGCATTCGACCTCGGCGGCTATGAGAATGCTCTCGCGGAGGATGTTGGCGCCGTAGTCGAGGTGGTGCACATCGACTTCAACATCCCTATAGCCATCAGTACAATGATGACTGGACCGATTTTCGGCGGGTCTGGTTGCTTGCAGCAGTACGTGCGGCTCGAGATGAAAAACCCGGTCGGCTCGGAGCTCCTAATCGAGGGGCTCATCGTCGATGTCTATTACGACGGCACGAGGATCGCTGCGGTTGACTTGCCTTCTCTCGGCGCCGAGAGAACAATTAAAATGTCTGGCTTCGAGTACCTGGAGGCCGAGAGGATGGAGTGGCTCCCTGTGATCATCGACTGCAACTCGCCCGCTGTGGTGAGCGCGGTCATCAAACTGCTCTACGCGATGCAGGCATTTGATTTTTATCAACGCGGAATCGGGGGTCACGCCGACCCCGCGCTGGCGCACGTCGAGGCAACGATCCTCATCGAGATCGGTGGGATTAAGCCCTTCATCAAGTATAGCCAGAATGAGGTCCCCGTCATCCTATGATGGAGCTCAGAAGCTCCTGAGTATGCTGCAGTAACTGCAGTCGCGTCGTATACTTGGGCGCCGCTCCACTCAACCGGATACTTAGCGCGCCGCTCCACTTAAGGACCGGGGAGACCGCAGGGCGCGGGGGGCGAGAGGCCGACCCGTGCAACGCTGAGCGAGCAGGTGAGAGAGCTGATTTTGTGGCTCTGTTGGTGAGAGAGAGAGATACCAATCTGAGACAGAGACGAGCGAGATGGGAGAGAGAGACTCAGAGTACATTGGAGATGGGGCGGCGGCTGGGAGGTTGCTGGTTGGTGTCTATGTGCACTCACAGCAGGCGTGCGCGGTGCGTGCGCCGGGTGCCGGTGGGCGGGGGCGCATGTTCTCCGATCCTCGAGGGTCAGATCGAGGTGACTACGTGTACACACATGCATGCTTGTGAGATTTCGTGGCCCCTCGCTCTCTCCAGAGTCCAGTCCACCCCGGTCCCCGCCACGCTGTGAGGGCAAGGGCTCCATCCCCTTAGGCGTGTGTGCAATCTTCACATTAGAGCACACACACACGTGTCCCCTCTCACGCTCTCAGAGAGAGTGCCCCGCACCTCTTCGACACATCTCTCTGTAGACAACCGACTGTACCCCAAAACGACACGAAACCGCTGTCGGGCGGCGTGCGACGTGCTCACATCGCGGACTCGATGGGTTTGGGTTTGCGAACGCTTCGAAACCAGCCCTTGAGGATGCTTCTTGCCGAGTCGAAGCTGGGCAGGTCCCTGATGGTGACCGTCTCGAGCTCGGCCAAATGCGCAACTCTTCCCGCCGCGGCGGCGGCCGCCAGCGCCGGCCGCGTGTCGAGGACGGCGTCGGAGCGGCCGCGGAAGAGGAAGGGCAGCCCGACTCGTTCGCCCGAGCGAGGCGCCACCACGCGGTGCTTGCACGGCGCAAAGTGTCCCGCCGAGAGGCGGGCGAGAGTGTCGCCGACCATGACGACGAGAGCGACTCCGCCGTCGGCTCGCAGCGCTGTCTCCTCCACAGGCACCCACAGCCCGTCGGAGCGGCGGAGTGCGTGCAGCCCGGCGGCGGAAGCGCACACGTCCAGGGTGAGCAGGCCTACTCCCAGAGATGTGCGCGCTGCTGTGGCAGCCCACCGGCGCCGCTCCCCTCTTCTCGAGGGTCCAAGGGTGAGGGTCCAAGGGTGAGTGGCGGGAGCAGCGCGCCCACGTCGTGGTGCTCTTCGCAGAGCACATCGGTGCCGTACGCACCCTCACGCCGCGAGTCGTACCGGCAGAGCCGAAGCAGCGAGTGCGCCAGCCGCGGCGCCTCCGCAGCGTCGGCGTCGGCGCCGGCGTCGATGAAGGAGGCAGAGGCGCGCGCTGCGCCTCGGATGCGCTCCGCCTCCGACGTCACCGCGGCGTCGAGTTCGGACGCCTCGATCAGCGGCACGCCTCTGCACCCGCAAGCGCCCGAGACCTCACCTCCGACCTCGCCTCCGTCCTCGCCTCCGTCCTCGCCTCCGTCCTCGCCTCTGTCCTCGCCTCTGTCCTCGCTGCTGCCGTTGTCACTCGGGGCGGATGGCGCGGCGTCGCAGAGTCCGGCGAGGAAGCGAGGCTCACAGCCGAGCTCCGCGGCGACGTGTGGGAGCAGGCCGCGCGCGACCCCGTCCAGCGTCCGCACGAGCAGGGAGAGGGCCGCCTCGGGCGTGGAGCGGGCGGGTGAGGCGAGGGGTGGCGGATGCGCGGGTTTGTGCCAGAAGGGGGGAGGGGCGGCTCACCGAGAAGCGCAGCCGGCCGTCTGCGTCGACCGGCGCCGGGTGGACGGCGCCGGGCGTCGCCCGCACCTCGAGCTGCTCGCGGTACTTTCCGTCGCGGTAGCCGGTGAACTTGCGGTCAATGTGGGCGTAGGCGCCCGCCTGCTCGAGCTTGGCTTCGGTCGACTGGGCGAACCATGTCGCCGCGGACCCCTCCACCTGAGGGCAGTGGCGAGGAAGGGCGTGGCGAGGGCGGCGGCGCGTGACGAGGGGGAGCGGGCGGCGGGGGCGACGGCCGCGGTGGGACGGGCTGCGGCGGCGGCACCTCTCGCCAGAGCGCCGCTTGCGATGCGGTGAGGAGCAGCGGTGCGTACCCGTCTCGCCTCAGCCGGCGGACAAAGGCGGCGCCCGCACCGCTCGAGCCTGGGGCGGCGCGGAGCACCTCCTCCAGCCAGGGCGCGCCCGCGTGCTGCAGTGCGTCTCCGAGCGGCGGCTCGGCGCGCCGGCTTGGGTCGGCCGGGTCTGCAGCCCACTGAACCACCTCGCGAGGGCCGAAGTGGGCGCGCATCTGCTCCAGCGCGTCCTCTTGCGAGGCTGTGATCGACAGTGCGACACCCGCCGGCAATTGTGCTCTCGCGGCTTCACAGAGCTGCGCGATGACGTCTGTGTTGTTGGCCTCGGCGTGCCACCGGAGCGCGATGAGCGCGTCACCGGTCGGCACGGCCGTTCGGAGTCCGACGAGGCAAAAGCCGGCGCACTCGAAGGGCGCGAGCGCGGTGGGCGCGTGCTCAAGCCTCACGCGGAGCAAAAGCAGCATAAACACACCCTCCTGCCCTCTTCGCGCGATCAGGCGTTGCACGAACCGGCACAAGCCACAATTGGAGTGGCCGCAATCCGTTGACCTGGATATGTACCTCGGCTTCACAGTAGATGTCACTGTGCCGCGTGCGCAAAAGCTCAAGTAGCGATCAATCTGCCGGACAGAGTAGCGTCTGTCTGTAACGGAGTCGGGCAAAGGGACGTGAAGAGATTCTGCGCCCGTCATCCTCCGGGAGGGCGTGTCGAAACCGAGTCTGATCGAAGTTCAGGGTCAGCATTGTGGGTCTCGCGGAAGCGAGATCAACAAGGCTGCCTAAGTAGGGGGGGAACGCGTGAGGCCGTGACCGGAGCAGCGAAAACTCCCAGCCCCGAATAGTCGACAGACAGCTCGGTTGAATGCCGCCTGGAAGGCTCTGGCGGGTCCGCAGTATGTCGACTGGTTTTGTCGTTCTGGTTTTGTCGTTTGCTACATCATCGTCCCTTGGCGGGTCCGGTTGAGAGAGATTTTTGAACACTCGTCCGGCGGTCGTTGCCGCAGCCCTCTCGCTTCCCCCTCCCTTTTCGCGCAGAGCCCGGCGTCTTGATTCGCGATTTCTCCATACCTGTCGCCGACTGAGCCGCTGCGGGCGTGGAGTCGGCCTTTCCTAACGCTCGTCGAGCGCCGGATCCATGTGCCGCTCGACCTGCGCACCGCTCAGACTGCTCACCCTCGCTCTCGCCGGGCTCAGCCACGGCCGTCCGTCCGACGCGGCGTGCCCGCCGTCGTGCCCTGTGAACGAGCTCTCAAAGCTGTACGACCAGTACTGTTCCGACAAGGGCACCTTCTGGCAGAGCAAGCACCACTACGCGTCGGCGTACCACCAGATCTTTGGTTCGATCCGCAACGTCGTCACCTCCATCCTCGAGATTGGGATTGGCGAGGACACCGCGCCGTCGGTCGCCTCGTGGCTGATTTACTTTCCAAAGGCACACATCTACCCCATCGACATCAAGACGACCGAGGAGGTGGCCAAGCGCGCGGTCCCCGGCGGCGCCACGGACCGCGTCGTCGCGCACCAGGCCAAGTTCGGCTGCGAGTACAACCGGTCGATGTGGTCTGACCCGCGGGCGCTCCTCGCCCAGCCAACCTGGCACCTTGGCCCCTCCGGAGCCGCGAGTCATTTGACACGCGCCCGCCAGTCGCCAGCACACCCCGCCCCGCCACACCTCGCCCGCAGTCGCCAGGCCCCTTCTTTCCCTCAGCCTCCCGCGCCGCCCTTCCCCACCGCCCGCCCAGGTGCACCTGACGCTGAACACCGACGCGTCGGACCCGGCTCAGCTCTCGCGCGTCCGGCTTCCGCCGCAGCTCGACATCATCCTCGACGACGGCTCGCACCGCTTCCTCGACCAGGAAAAGACGCTGCACGTGCTCTGGCCACGCCTCCGCCCGGGCGGCTTCTACATTATCGAGGACATCCTGATCGGCGCGCTGCCGTGGGACGCGTCGCACGCGCAGCAGGCGCCGACCAACAACTCGGACTGCGGCGGCGAGTGCTTCTTCCCGCAGAAGATCGCCGAGCACCCCTTCCTGCTCGACCGCTTCGGTCACACCAAGGGCGGCGCTTGGACGCGACTGCGCAAGGAGACGCAGGAGCTGCTGCGCAAGCACGACTGGTTCTTCTCGGTGACGGGCGTGCACAAGGGGGGCGGGCTCGACGTCTCGCTCATCCTGCGAAAGGCGGGGCCCGCCATCGGCAGCGAGGGGCTGGGCGGCGAGGCTAGGCCCCTCACGCCGCCGTCCACGGACAACGGCGCCGCGCTGACGCAGGAGCGTGCCCCAACCGCCCTCTGCCCTCCATCCGCCCTCTGCCCGCCCTCTGCCCGCCCTCTGCCCGCCCTCTGCCCGCCCTCTGTCCCCGCGCCGCGCGCGACGTCGAGACTCCCTGTCCCTCAGGCGCGCTCCGCGCTGCAGCTCGCGGAGACGCAACAGAAGTCGCTCGAGCGCCAGCACTCCGAGCTGCAGCAGTCGTTGCGCTCGATCGAGCAGGCCGTCGAGACACGCTGCACGCAGCAGGAGGCGGTGCGGCCGGCGGACGAGGGCTCCAGCACCGTCATGTACGCCCTGCTCGCCGCCTCGGTCGCCCTGAATTGCCTCCAGTTCGTCACTTCGCGCGGCGGGGCACACACCGCGGCCTTAGGCGAGGCGCGGCGACGCCGCGCCGAGCGCTTCTCTCATGCCGCGCCCCCTCTCGCCGTAGGCGCGGGGCTACCGGAGGGTGCCCAACCGGGCGGAAGGGTTCTGAGCGTCTTGCGGGACTCTGTGCTTGTGCCGTGGGTGACCGATTTGGGAGGAATTCGATGTTGATCGAGGTTGGTTTCAGCGGTGGACAGCGAGGCGGTGGCGCGAGGTTGAGGTGGCAGTGTCCGGGACTCTTCGAGGGACTCTGGGAGAATGGGTTTGCTCCACACAGGTCACAGCGCGCGGCGTGCCGTGCTGTGTGGGGCGGCGGGGAGCGCGAGCGGGCCGGCGGGGCCATGGACTGGCAAGCACTTGGGTGGCTGGGGTGCGACTCGCACAGCGACTGTGCAGGTGCCAGGTGGGACCCACGAGCCACGACATGGGGTCGCGCGTGGTGTCCCGCGGTATTTTTCCGGCACCATACTCTCAACTCTGTTCTCTGAAAGCACGCCCACCCTGCACTTGCCCCCGCAGGCAATTGGCGTCTGATTCACACTATACACGACTCCTACACGCTACACAGTACACTGTACACCTCTGGGCCGGCGCGGGGGCCCCAGAGGGTGTCCATGCGGGGGGGCGATGGGGTCCCATGGCCCGCCGCAGGCGCCGATTTCTGTTGTTTTCACGGGAATTCGGCGTACTTGCGGCCATGCTATCACGCCTTGCGACATCCTTTCGGCGCTGCTGACCGTGTGCCGTGCTGCACAATTGATCACCTGCATAGCTCGCGGCCTTAGTATCAAGCATTCAGTGACGACCTGATCGTACGGCCAGTAGGAAGGTCAAGGTGTCCTTCCATCGTGTGCACGCTTGGTGCAATGCGCGTCGCCTCGGATTGGCTGCTGGCACTCTCGAGGCTATGCCTGCACAGCCTCGCGCGCATGGGCAGTCATGAAGGACCACGCACCTTCTCAGGACAGCGCCGGTGCCTCTCTCTTGGACCGGCAAACTTTGTGGTCTAGTGTCACCAATATGGGACCAGTGCGGCATCGCGCCATCGACAGCTCTGAACTGCGCCTCACCACTGACCGGGGAGGCCGCCAAGTGGGCCAGCACCGGTCGCACATTGTGGCAGCAGTCAGCAGTCCATGGCTGATAGCTAGAGCAGCAGCGTCAGGGCAGGGTCGGATCGTGTCAAGCCTCTCGCCCGGCCGGCCGCGTGCAGACGTCGGCCTGTCTGCTGTCTGGAGTGATCTGTCGGCGGTCAGTACGACCGATCAGGTTGGAGGTTACTGATGATTGGAGGGTCTATCTGTGTGTACTCCTCGAGATCTCTCCAAATCTGCCATCTAATCAACCGTAATCATTCGGGAAGTTGGTGCTAATAGAGACTAATAGAGCCGGAGCCCCGTTTCCGCACTGCGGCGCGGCGCACGGTGCCTCCGGGGGCCCCCGCGCCCCCCCAGAGCTGTACACACACAGTCACACAGAGTCAGTAGAGAGGTCGTCAGCGGCTGAGGGAGGGTGTGTAGCGAGGATGTAGAGTGTAGTCGAGCGCTGTAGAGCTGTAGAGCTGTAGAGCGCTTTAGAGCTGTAGAGCTCTACATCCGCCGCGGGACGAAACGCCTGCGTTGTAGACGCGATGTAGAGGCGCTCTACAACGATCAACGTGAAATCTCTAGACTCTACAACAAACTCTACATCATAAGCGGCGAACGAGGCACGGCCGCTCTCCGACATGAGGCGCGTTGCACTTGCCAGTGCTGCCCTGGCCTTCTGTCTGCCCGCCCAATGGGTGGCAGGTGCCTCTGCTGCTGTGGCATGCCTCACGGCTGCGACTGGCCGGCGCCTCGGCGCGTCAGCTCGGCTCGGCGTAGCGATAGTGGCCAGCGCAACTCGCCTGGACTCAACGCTCAGCCAGGAGCTCCCGCACGCGCTGGCGCGAGTCATGGCGCATGCAACGCGCAGCAATGCTCGCCTCGCCTCGCGCAAATGCGACCGTCCTCGCAGCCGACAGTCCACCGCCTGCTAAAGAAGCACAGCGACGAATCCGCACCGGCGACGCATGGCAGGCTGGTCATGACGCAGTTATAGGGTGTTATGTGCCGTCAGAGTGACTCTCTGTGTGTCAGGGATAGTCAGGGCCGTCCACCGTCCACCAGAGCTCTCCAGTAAGCTCGGAGACACCCCATTAGCGCGGCTCGACCTCCTTGAGTCACTGCCTTCCCGGCGGTTTGGCTGTAGACAGAGTAGAGCCTCTACATACAACAAACTCTACAGCAAAATCGCGCTCTACATCGCTCTACAACGGAGGCACATCGTCACGCGGCGGATGTAGAGCTCTACAGCTCTACACAGGCTCTACAGCGCTCTAGAGCGCTCTCCAGCGCTCTACATCTCTACAGCGCTCTACACTCTACATCCTCTACACCCTCCCTCAGGTGAGACCCAATCGGGGCCGTCCATCAGAGCTCCAGTAAGCTCGGAGACACCCCATTAGCGCGGCTCGACCTCTTTGAGTCACTGCCTTCCCGGCGGTTTGGCTGTAGAGCCTCTGCAACAAACTCACAGCAAAATCGCGCTCTACATCGCTCTACAACGCAGGCGCTTCGTCCCGCGGCGGATTGTAGAGCTCTACAGCTCTACAGCGCTCTCCAGCACACTACATCTCTACAGCTCTACAGCGCTCTACACTCTACATCCTCTACACCCTCCCTCAGGGTCAGAGTTCTGATGAGGAGAGGTTTTGTTGGAGTTCTGAGAGAGAGATTTAGCAGTACCAAACAACTCTAACACTCTGCACGTCAGGTCGTCACGTTCTGATGAGTCCAGGAGTAATTTTGTGTTCTACCGAGGCGGTGCCGAGCGCAGGCGGT